GAGGAATCAGCCGTCACAGTAGCTGAGTACAATCTCATTTATGATGCAGAGCTATGGAAGCTGATTTCTCAAGTACGTGATCCTCAGTATGCGGGAGAAACTTTCAGCAGTAAAACAGGGTTCATGCAATTTATTGGCAGCACAATAGAATATGAAATGAGTGTTCCAGATTATGAACAAGATAATAAAGGAAAAGATAAAAATGAGCAAGATGCCACTGCCACAGTACCATCAGTGTCACCTCCACCAATGATTGAATACATTTCGTCTTCAGGAACAGCTCCATACAGACAGGCTAAGTACACATTTGAAATACCTGTCTGTGAGACACAAACAGGGTCTGATGATGATTGGGTAGTTGTATCAGTATCAGACGCAGAAGATGATGATCTATGCTATTCACCAGAATCCTTGATAGACTACAGACCCACGTCCCCTGATTCAGTCATGGTGAGAGAAGCGAGAGCCTCATCTCCAGAATCTGTATCATCAGTCAATCAGTTTAGACCACTCTCACCAGATTCCCCCTTACCTGAATTTACAATGGCATTGCCAGAATGCGTGAAGTTCCAGAGATCAGCATCATCTTCAACTGAGACTTCGGCATCAGAAATAGATGATATGCCATTTGGAAATTTGGAATCTCAGTTTGCAGAATGCAGGCCGTCATCTCCAGAGTCTACACTGTCTGAGGATCAGAATGAGAGAGACAGGCCGTTGTCATCTCAGTCTCTGCCTGAATACAGACTTATGTCGCCTGAATCAGCCATGCACATGGTTGACACAAGAGCATCATCTCCAGAATCAATGCCTGAGTTTAATGAGAACAGGTCGCTGTCTCCAGACTCTCCCATACCTCAGTTTACAGTATCGATTCCGGAGTACACCAGTATTCATAGGTCATCATCTCTTGAATCAATGGGTTCAGATTCAGAATGCGAGCTTATGGTCACATCATCAAGAGTCACTGAGACTGACAGACCGTCCTCACCTGAATCAATATCATCTGTCAATGAGTTCAGACGACTGCTGCCTGACTCACCAGTACCTGAGTTTATGAGAATTTTGTCTTCTTATTTTATGGACGCTAACCGTGTTGATAAATCATCTTCACCAGTGTCTTTGTCATCGGACTCGGAGTTTGTTCCTTTACCTTTGGATTGTTGGATTGATGATAGTCCAAGGCCAGTAAGCCCCCAAACTGATGAGTCAGAGGAGGAATTTGACTTTTGTTTTAAGGGGACTGATAGGGGGGGCTTTAAACCAGAATCTCTGAGTCAGGTGACATCTCCTTTACTGCCCGATGGGTCTTCATTATTACCTGACAAAAGGCCATTGGCCGTGTCACCATTACTAATTCAAACTAGTGAGACAAAGTCTAAGGAAGGACATGCCAATCCTGAGTGGCAAAAAATCCCAAAAGCACAATCAGTTTTGTCGAATGTCGAAATCAGTGAATGGATGCAGCGTGGATCAGAGGCTGAAAGAATCTCAACTTTACAAACCCCTGTTTGTGAGGAAGACTTCCAGAAAGATTCTCATGTGAAGCCATCACCAGTTCAAGATGCTAAAAGAAAGGTAAAGAAGATCCTACACACCAGTGCTGGAGAACTAAAGAGCAAGAAAGCCTCAAAAAGGGTAAGACTGAGAGCATGTCACTTGGATGGAGGAAATAATTCTGTGTGCCTTGATGGACTAATGACAAAAAGGAGTGCAGTGACTCGATTGTGTCCGGAATGTGTTTGGGAAAATACTTTCCCTTCAGTTCTGATTTATTTGTCTGATGCAAAGATGCTTTTAAAATTTGCATGTCATGGCTTCACACATATTGTTCTGAACTGTATGAGATGTTGGCTGGATGGGACTTAAAAACTGTCACTGCACAGTGATACTAACTTTAAAATTTAATCATGCTTACCAACCTGTATGTTGATTTTTTTGTTTTTTTTGTGAAGTTATTAAAATCATGTTGATGTTCACTTACAGGCTCCTTCGCCAGAGGAAACACAGTTTCATACACACAAGTTGTCTGCTACAACAGTGGCACAAGATGCCAGTAAAATAGGTGGTGTGCTGTTCACAGATGCCAAGCGAATGAAATCAGTTCCCCTACAGCTACCTGAGCAGAACTCATACACGACCCACAGAACTGTTACTCCAGTTCTAATCACATCTGAGAAGACATCATGTGGGTATTCAGAGTGGGAGTTGTCCCCTAAGAAAGCACAGTCCAGTGAGCTTTTTTCACCCATGTCAACACAGTTTTTGGTGCCACCAGATTATGAAGCAATATTTTCAGGACATCAGACCCTGAGAGTTTCTGAATGTAGCCAACCCTCCATGAATGATTTGAGTCCGTTGTCTCCAGTGTTCAGGGACTCCATTTCAGCTGAGGCTGTGGCTGAAGACACTACCAAAGGAGAGTCTGAAGATTTTGAGTTTTCCCCAGACTTTAACAGAGTTCTCTCGGAATTTGAGAAAACAGTCTCTGAATTTCAATCAGAGGATCCAAAGGTCCTACCAAAGGAACTCAGTAAGGGATCGGAATCTCCACAGCACTCTGACTCAGATCTGGAATTCTTTGACTGCAGACAAGCCTTCTCTGACTTCTCTGAACCAGAAGAAGTGAAACTAGAGCATGAGTTTACCTATCATATCTCCGAACCCTCGTCCCCAATGCCTGGGAGTAGCCCTGATTTCAGCTTCCTGAAAGCGAGCCCTAAGCATACCGCCCACCCTTACCTCCAAGTGGAAGATTACAAACGATTCTCTTCTGGCAGCGAAAGTCTCGGTGAATTCACTTATGATTCAGAGGGTTCACGGGAGTGTCGAACAGAGGGCGACCTCCCTGTGTGTGAGGAGCTTCTTTCCAGAGATCAGGCAGGGTATTTTGATGATGACGACTTCCTGGGAAGGGTAAGAGGTCGAGCATGAGCACAGTGCTGCACTGGCTACTGTCTTGCCCTTCCAGGCTGGTTGCTGTGGTGCTGCATTCAAGATAAAAAAACACACGTTTGCATTTTACTTCAATAAGGCTAACAAGTGTTTCTGTGTGCATGAGGGTCTAAACTTTCCAGAAAATAACAAAAGTTCGATAAATATGACAAGTTGCTGTGACTGAAAAAGCTGTGTTTGACAGTGGTGGTGTAACCTATTTAGTTGCTAATTGTGAAGTCAGCATTGGTGACATTTACAACCTGCTGTAACCTGTAACTCCTTGTTCACATCCGCACCTGTTTGCATCCCTTGATTTCTGCTTGTTGTTGATCCCATCAGTGTGCGAAATATCCTTCCACAATTGGGGGGACCAGTGCTGTGCGCAGTACTTTAAAGATAAGGAGAATTCAGGTTTGCTTTGTTTTAACCTGCCGTATTTTCCATAAATGTGGCCATTGTGACTCTCATCGGTGATGCTAGGTTTACACTCGTTACCTCTTTTGTAGAGATCTGGGGGAATGAGGTCTCACACCAAACAATGTCAGGGCAAGCTGCCCGAGCCTCCTACAGCTTTCCAAAAAAAATTTACTTTTACATGAAACACAGGAAATAGCTCCCTGGAATAGCCAAGTTGGCTAATTGCATAGAAGTCACTGTTTTCGTTGCGCAAACGCTGGAAGGGTGCACAACGTCCTGTCGAATTGCACTCTTCAGGTTTTCACTAGATTTTGATGCATCTCCACCTGTTCAGACCAAGATTGGAAGTATACACTGCGAGATCATTTGCAGTATAGTGGTTGACTAGCAACTCTCCATATGTCATTTAGTTTATTAATTTGTATTGAGATGGTAGGGCTGTCACTGGTTTTTCTGTTGACCAATTGAGGATTGATATTTTGCTATATGGACTTGTTTATGAGTGTACATCAGGTGTCTGTTCACTGTTAACTGCTCCTAACCTTTTAACATTTCAAAATGCAAACAAAGGCAAGATAAAATAATCTAAGAAATGTAATCGAGGGCTCTGAGACTTCCCATATTTCGCACACTGGTACCCATCCTTGCACGTTTGTTTCAGTTGAAATTGTTTGCATAACTGTGCCTTCTCTTCATCTCACTTCACTATTATGTACAGCCATACACTTTCTTTATTTTATTCATCACTCATTCCATTTGTCTGTACATGAACTCTTTGACAAGCGAACACATAAGTGAGATAAAGAGAAAAGAAGGAATAGCCGCTGCCTGCAGGAGTGTGCTGTAGTCATATATTGACCCATGCTGGTTGTGTGCTGTCTCCCAGGAGATAGCTGAGGAGCTAGGGTTGCTGTCCTCTGATAGCTCAGAGGAGGAGGTGCTGACCACCAGGGTGGTCCGACGCAGAGTTATCATACAGGTAAACAAGCATGACTCAGCTGTGCCGCCCCAGTGCACCATGTGAGTGCTGCAGGGTCAGTGGGTAGCAGAGGTTTAATGCTTCCTGGTGTGTGTGTGTGTGTGTGTGTGAGGAGGTGGAGGGGCAGGGGGGGGGGCTTCATGCTGGAGTTGACTTTCCTGGTTAATCATATACTGCAGAGTGTCCCACACTTGTTACATTTGCTTGGCACAAAAGTTATTTTCTGCAATGGTGAAAGAAGATTACTAACGGTGGAAGATTGGTATTTTGTTGTTTTGTTGCCCGACTTCATGTCCGTTTCATGTCTTTGTTCTGGTATAGAAATGATTTTTAAGGTTGATTTGAATGATTTAATACTGGAAGGTTAAAGGGTCAGATTTTAAATGTTTTGACTTTGGTGATCCTTGTTATAGTGTCAACAAAGAGACGGGAAGATAGCTATGCAGGACACACATTTTCACAACTCCAGAAACATATGCCATCAGAATGACTTGAAATATTCTATAATTGCAGAAAAAAATCCACACATAGCGGCTTTAAAAAAGACTGTAGATTTGATGCTGCTTCTCATGTTTGGGTGATTTATGTCATATGTTGCTTGAAATTCATATAAAACAATGCTGTTGATTGTACCCTTATGAATTGACGGTTTCTTGTCTTGTTACAGGCGGATAATCTCCCAGATATCCCACCACAGACTGTCACAGAGGAGAAGTACACAGATGAGCATGGCAACATGGTAGTTAAGAAAGTAAGGGAACATTCAAAGATGTCAACAACATAAAAATATCCACAATTTACACTTAAAAAAGTGCTATTCCTTGACGTATATGATGAAAAATGTTTACAGTTTTTACAGCAAAGAGATTCTCTTTCTGTCCTGTCCACCAGATCACACGGAAGGTGATTCGCAAATATGTGTCAGCGGATGGCATGGAGACACAGGAAGTGACCATTGAGGGCTCTCACCAGGAGACGGTGCAGATCGAGGAGGGAGACGCTGTTTCCAGAGTGGTGAAGAGAACTGTGCTTCACAGTGACGGAGATCAGAAAGAGGTCAGTGTCATCTACCAGCTACTGTCAGATGTTTTAAACCATTATGTGGTTTATACATCATTTATGTAGTTTATGAACATCTTCTATTGCTTCCTTGAACGTTAGTTATCTAATCCTGCTAGTGTTCATTGCATCTTTGAGACTGCTCCTAGAATCTTCTACATTTGCTGATGAAGGGAGTTATTTTTAAGTTTGGAAATGCCGACTTCTGACACAAACAAATGCAAAGGTGTGGCCAAAACACCAAGAGAAAACTGCCCACTGAGGCTTGCATGTCACGTAATAGTGAAACATACTGAAACTGCATTCATTAAAAATACCTGTGTGATATATGTGAAAGGTAAAACGTAAAAGCATGTTTAGTGGCCAAGTTCTACACAAACTAGCTAGCTAATGTTGGTTAGCAATCATTATAATACAGATCCATTATGTTAATTGCTTTGACAATGCATCTGTGTGCATTAATTTACTGCCTGTGACAATATACTAGCAGAAAATGTCTCACTTTAAATGAAATGCAGCATTCATCAAACAATAAATAATGTTATTCAGTTATGTGTGCAAATCAGTATCTCATCTTTCAGATTCTTAAGTCTCAAGTACTTGTTTAAGTATAATTTAATGAGGTTGGCATGGCCTTACCAACAATTAGAATCTTGTTATTGCTAGTTTATTCAGGCAAATTCCTACAGCCATGCTAGCGGCTCTGTGAGGTTGTACCCACATAGATCTGCTTTCACCTAAATGCTAACATTAGCATGCTAACATCCACAATGATAATGCTAACATGCTGATGTTTTGCAGGTTTAATGTTTACCATGTTTAACATGTTAACATCTTAGTTTAGTGTGTTAGCACGCTAAAATGTGCTACTTTCTTAGTACTAAAACACCTACGCGGAGGGAATGTGATTAGTTTCGCTGGTATTTTGCTGTAAAAGTACATACTGAAGGTTTGACCCAGTGACAGCAATAGATAAAACATAAAAGCACATACTTCATTATACATAGTACGTAACAATTGGTGCTTTGACATCTTATCTTATCTTCAGTTGACGTTCTCGGAGCCCCTGGCCCTGGGCGCTGCCACCGCATCAGAGTTCGAGGTGGAGCCAGTGCAAGGTCGAAAGGTCAGCAAGGTTGTCAAGACAACAGTGGTGAGAGGCGAGAGGATGGAGAAGCATACTGGAGACCCCTCACTTGCTGCAGATCTCCCCTCAGCCAGAGAGGACTTTGAGAAGGTCAGCGTGTTCAAACTAGAAACACGATGAAAGACTATTCTATCAAGAGCTGATTGCACATATTTACTAGGTGTTCTTGGATTAACTCTTGGTAATAAGAGAAAATTTAAATTTGGAGGTGTGATTCCACAGTCCCAGTGTATCTTTACAAGTGCCTCCACTACATGCTGATATATAGGTAGTCAGAAACTGCTGTTGAGCAGATAGTTGTGTCAGGTTTCCAGTGTTTGTCTTTCCTCCTTCTGATGCCTCTCTCCTCCCTCGTTCTTTTCCCTCTAGGCATTGAGTTATGCTGGAGGCTTTGGGAAAGTACTCCTGCCTCATGTAGTAGAGAAAGACATTGTGCAGGACGACGGTTCTGTGGTTAAAAGGTTGGACAGCAGCATGGGAGTGGGTAGAAACGGGTGTTTACTAAAAGCATTTAGCAGAGGTTAACATAGACGCATGGTGTGATGGCACCTTCTAACCTTTAATGTTACTGTCCAAACTTTGATTTTGACTTGAACTTTGCAGGGTAAGTGGCAATTAGAAGACTAGATTAGATTTTTTTTTACAACCTGTTATTCTTGTAGTTTTGGTCATTATTATATAGCACCGTGGTTAGACACAACCTTACAAAAAAAACATACCAACAGTTTTTAAGCCTCTATTTTTAGAAGTTTGTAGCATTTTTCTTCTTTGTAGAAAAATGAGACAATCCCAGTTAATGCATTGCTTTTAGCCCATTTATCTCAGTGTCCCTGACTTGCGTTGCTGTTGCCACAGTGTCCTTGTATAAATAGGAATGATGGACAGAAAATATAGCCCAGGTTGTAAAAATTTAAGTAGCTTTGAAGTATGAAATGTGGACAAAGTTGCATGGTTTGTGTTCAGTTTCTGACTTACCATGTTTGCAGACCTGGCCATAGGAATCCTAACCTGCTCACGTCTAAATGTCAATATTCAGGCTCAGCTCATCCTCTGAAAATAACAAACACAGATCAAAACCTTGGTTCACCCACATTTCAGGTTAGCATGGAAACATAGCAGTGGGTGAGGACCTAAAGAGAACAAGGCCTGTGTGGAACTCTGCAGCTGCCAAAATCACAATTACAAAATTTAATCAAAGATTTCGTTTTCCATTTGAGTGCACATGATGTATGACAAAATAAAAATTTTGAAAATCCACTTTCTAGTTCCATTTTAATGTTTAAAAGGCGGTTATTTGTTGATTTTAACAAGAAATTAGCTAAAATTATATTATATATTAATATTATTATATAAAAATGGAAATATTTATTCATTCAAAATTATTGTGGTATCCTGTTTTCATTTTGAGGTGGATTATTTAAGAAGACCAAACCAAAAAAACTAATTGAAAATTGGGCTGTTTTTTAATTGGCCGTTCTTTTTCAAATTACATGATTAGATTTTTTAAAAGTAATTAAAATAATTAAATAATTATCATTGTGTCACTGTTTTGCTTTAGAGTTGTCATTTCCTTCCAACAGTATGCGATGTAATGTGTTATTTAACTATGCAATTCCAAAAATAAAATAAAAATTTTCATTCATTCATTTTCAAAAGTTTCATTTTGCAGTGAATCACATGCACGTGCATGGAAAATGAACTGATTTGATTTAATGATTTAATTTTAATATTGGCATCCCTGGATGTGGCCCATTTAAGAACGTGAACCTTGGGGGAGGCAGGATCTGGTCAGTCCATGCCTGTCAACATGGCTGGTGATTGACAGTCCATCAGCATGGGCTTCTGTAACTCTTCTTTTTCTGTTCCCGCAGAAGCCAGATGCGTAAGTCGCGAACCCAGAAGAGGACTGTGGTGAGGGATGCCCAGGGGAAGCACGTGCACCTGGAGCGTCTGGACGACCACCCAGACGCCCTGCGGCCCGACGCACTGCAGCAGCACCTGCACCGACTGCTCCAACGCTACTGTGAGGAAAACCAGGAAGAGGAGGAGGAGGAGGAGGAGGAGGAGGGAGGAGACCAGGAGGAGGAGGAGGAGAGCTTTGACTGAGCAGCTGCTTTCACAGATCCTCTGCCTCCATCTTAAAAGCCTTTAGTGACGTATGCTTCCTCAGATCAAGATGTTCCAGATCCCCTTCTCCTTGTCCTCGCTGATCACTGGATTGAAGTTTGAGGGTTTTTTTGTTGAATAAAGGAACAGTATTTTTGTGCTTTAACACTCTTCCTTCCTTCACATTGTGTTTCATTTGCTCTTTTTGTGACCAAAGATAGCACCCTTCATTTTTGTCGGAAGATGGTTTTTGTTTCTACCTTTATGTCTGCTGTGGTGTGATTACGCTACGACTCACCGAAGGTGGGTCAAAGTCAAAGGGGGCATCTCGGACGTTTCACCTCACGCACAGGCCTCTTCTTGAAGAACTCTTGTAAACATTTGTACATAGGAGACAAAAAAATCATGCTTAGACTGGGGGGAAAAGTCCGGAAAAAAATTCAAAGCATTTAATACATTAGCCCACCTAAACCTGCTGTACATGCACCGATTCAGCTGGAGAATGGCCACCGTACAGATGAGATTAATGTTACATAGAGAAGAAATTGGGAGGAGTGAATGTGCGTATCATCATGGACTCTTTATACAACCGAACACCGCCCTGCTGACCTGTTTACAAAGGCTGTGTGATCACACCTTTTGTCTTCCCATGATGCATCTGCCCTTTTATTTTGTTCGCGTCTGTCCTTCTAATGCGTGTTGTGCATTCACATTTTACACGTCACAGAGCTGCCACCTCTGTGTGTATATACAGCGTGTCTATGCCGTCTGTGTTTCGCCCTGCAACCTCACACGCGCTGCTTCTCCTCACCTCAAACTGCAGCCGTGCTCATATAATGGTCCTCCATCGAGCCTTTTAAAGGAAAAGTCTGGCCGCATTGTTCTTGTCAACAAATCCCACGTGCGGAGTCGAACCAACATTGAATGTATCTGATAACAAGTACTGTACGTGTGTGTTCTTCCTCTGTGCCATTGAGCTCCAGCAACTATTACGACACATCGGTGAGCCTCACTGTTGCACTGGGTGACATGTTCCTCCATCACCATGGACATATTTAGTTAAACGTAGTGGAGAATGTGCGCCTAACCTGTTTCACATGTGAAAGTCAGTTGTAAAACGTCATGGTGATGTCATCAGGTTATCTCCGCTTTGGGGTTGAAGACTAACAGGAAGCCTGTGTAACAAGCTGGAGGGGTGTGTATCTAGCAGGGAGGGTCTAACAAAGAGATGCCATTGAGTTGCATTATGGGAAATGTAATGATCTTTGGAATTTGACTCATACTAAGGGTAAGTAAGTAAAGTTTATTCAAAAGAGAACCTTTTCACAGAGCACCACAATAAATTGTCATAATTTACCGTTATCCCACATTGTGGTTCATATCAGGGAGAAAAAAGTATTATATTTGAGGATTTTAGCTCGTCATTGCTGCCCTGTTGTTTTTCCACCAATTAACATATTTTACTTGTCAATCATGTGTGATGCTGCAAAATCAGTCGCTGTGTGCAGAAACTATGTTTTGCTTTATTTACATGATGAAACATTTAGGCTACTTAATTAGTTCTGTACATTAGTGGGCTATCTCGTCATAATCTGTTTTTTTCGATCATGAAACAAACATGGCCAAAAGTGACATGGCTCTAGCTGACACCAGAGAGGACATTTCAAAAAATGTTTCATTGCTTCCTGAGTAATGAATGAAGTTAAGGCTGTGACTGATCACTGTAATTTATTCTGACTCAGCCCCACATGCACCGTTACCTCCTGTTAATTTGACACAGTGAGCCTTTTTAAAAGATGAAACAATCTATTTATGATTAGTTTTTAAGGCTTTACATCTTCAATAGGAACCGATGGGCTCGGGGGCTGAGAGCCACAGACGGGGCAGGGAAGTCACATTGGTGGTTTTGGTCTTTTCATGGGGTTTGTTGACAATAAAAAACTACAGAACAACACCAGACTTGTCCTTCAGGTTTATGGACACCACACATAACAGATATGCTTTGCTTTCATTGCTGTTGTTCTTGTTATCACTGCTATCAGGATTAAACTTCCACTGACTTCATCACATACAAACTTCCTTATTTATTTATTACCGTCCATTTGTGATATCTGTTTACTCCAGCAGTTGAAGCTGAGAGTGGTGTGTGTGTTTGAATGTGTTCTAAAGCTAAAAGTAAAGACAAATGAAGACTTTTTTTGCCACCGTAGATGTAGAGGATTTGCCGGTTGAATTGTGTACAGACTGATGTTTGGTGTTCATCTACAGACTTTATCTATGTAACAATACGATCCTCACGTTGCCATTTATTTTGAGTGTGATCCAATGGAACAATAAAAGAAATGTCAAAAAGAGATCGTTGATTTGATATATGAGCATCTTGTTTCCATGGTGATAAAAATATATACATATTAACAGCGCAAATATCTACGCGGGCATGTATGACGTTATCAAATTATTACTAAAACGTTAACCTGAAACGCTAACAAGGCATAGCAGCTGCAGTGTGTACATGGCGGAACAATAAAACTGTACATGTGTCAAATGTGAAGTGATGTCGTCTTTTTAAAAGAGCTTCAGTTTTGGACAGCGCAGGAGTATTAAGGGAGAAATGTGAACATTTTTCTTATATTTCTCCAGAAGTTTTGGCCGGATGTGTACCTTCAGAAGCTTGTTAGCAATGTTGCACTGCAATTGTGTCGAAGCAGGGATGAGAAAGCACAAAACTGCAGGAGGGGGAAGAAGTTGTGTTAGTAACATGCAATAATGGGATGAGGTTGCATACAGAGGGAGAGAAAGTAGAGGAGAGAGGAGCTCAGTGCATCATGGGAAATCCCCCGGCAGTCTAGGCCTATAGCAGCATAACTAAGGGATGGTTCAGGACTCACCTGAGCCAGCCCTAACTATAAGCTTTATCAAAGAGGAAAGTCTTAAGCCTACTCTTAAATGTGGAGATGGTGTCTGCCTCCTGAACCCAAACTGGAACCTGGTTCCACAGGAGAGGAGCTTGATAGCTGAACGCTCTGGCTCCTAGTCTACTTTTGGAGACTCTAGGAACCACAAGTAACCCTGCATTCTGGGAGCGCAGTGCTCTGGTGGGGTAGTAAGGTACTATGAGCTCTTTAAGATAAGATGGTGCCTGACCATTAAGAGCTTTGTAGGTAAGAAGAATGATTTTAAATTCTATTCTGGATTTTACTGGAAGCCAATGCAAAGAAGCTAAAACAGGAGAAATGTGATCTCTTTTCCTGGTTCCTGTCAGAACACGTGCCACTGTTAATAAAATCAGAGACGTTAATAATCAGTAAAATAAAAAAGGACATACAGTGGGAAATACCTCTTCTAAAAACGTAGCTGGGATAGTACCTTAAAACACAGGTGGAGGATGTCATCTGGGAAATTAAAGTAAAAACAGTAGCTGTGTCTGTCAGAATAATTTGGTGAAGTAAAAAGTACGATCTTTCCCTCTGAAATGTAGTGGAGTAGACTTTTAAAGTAGCATTACAGAAATACTCAAGGAAGTGCTAAGTAACTTTCCACCACTGCTGAGGTGCTTATTACAAACACCAGTCCTCCCCAGTTCAGAGCTGGTATGAGGACTTTTGAAGCTGATCTATCCTGTAATCTGGTGTCAAAGTTGTTTACTTTGAACTCAAGGATATTAATTATATCAAGCGCTTCGATAGTGAGGCCTTTTTGAATTTAAACACAGGTATGCTGATTCCCGCTACAGGGGAAAATAAATAAATAAATAAAAATCAGTGATGTGTGATGAACTGAATGGCACGGTGGTGAACAGCATCCAGTGGTTTAAAGATGGCATCTCTATAATCCAAATTATATGATTTGTTTTCTGTTTTGATGGGAGAAAAAAAGCTCAGTTTCAGGGAAGGAATCCAATTTGACTTTTGAGCTTTTGAGCTAGGAGTTCAACATACAGTAAGCTTTGTAGGACAATCAGCTATCTAATCATATTCCTAAGCATTCATAGTGCTGAACTGTATTAGAAAAGGTGATGGCACTGCAGTAGTGTGGTTCTTTTAAAATATATTTTGCCCCTGGGAGTTTAGAGCAGCTAACAGTCGAGCCAAAGGCAAGCCACCAAGATGGTATCATCAGAATAGAAGTGTGCAATGCAGTGCTGATTTTGACAATACATTTAATTTATGTAGAGTAAATAAAAGAAGGCTACTGGCTGCAGTATGTTTTAAACACCGCTTGAGACCTGTTTTAATTGTAGCAAAAGAAGACATCATGAAACAAACCAAGTCATTTGGCATAAATCACACATTTTATTTGATATTTCTTAAACATACATCAGGCTTGTCCCATCATGGCAACATTATATATGTGATGTGTCCCATCGGGAATTTCACTGCATCTTGAGACAAAAACAAAATGTGTCGTGTGCGGGACAAATGTGATTAAAGACTGCAGAAACAGTGTTCTGAAGACAAAATCTCACAAACACAAATGTAACCATCAGTGGACACCCTGTGACTCTGAAGGTGACTGCTTCCTTTACCCAGTGCTTTGATTCTGGAATTATCTTTCCCATCCCTCCTAATCTGAACCTGCAAGTGATGACAATCCTCTTTCCCTTTGATTTAACAGTGATACCAAAATAACAAAGAGTGACATAAGAACTAGAACGTCAAGAACAATAGTGATTTACTGTTTAGTAATTCTGGCTGATGATCCAATTCCCCATGACAAAAATAAATGGGAATCGTGCTTCCAGAAGCAAACGTTTCAGCTGGACTTGAGATTCCTGTCAGTCTCAACATCATGATTCTACTTTAGTCTTGTCCAGTGTAAAAGATGGTGCTCTAACATTGGCTTACACCAGCTGGACAGAGGATAAAGGAAGGATTCACCAATAAAGACAATCAAGGTTAAAAGGTTTAAAGGAAAGCGATAATAATGAGGATATAACATGTCAACAAAACGGATCAACTGATACTGAATGAAAAGATCATTTGACTGAAAAGCTTTAAAGAATGGCCTTAAAGAATAAATGAATTATTATACGTTCCTCTGTATTTCAGAGATCCATTCTATGAAGATACTCTTCTCACGTGATAGAGGTCCAAAACAGACAAAATGAAACACGTTTCAACTGAGTTCCCTTTTAAACATTCATAGTTAAAATTCTGAGTAAACATAAAATACAACTTAGTGCCAAGGGCAAAACAGATTTGTAAAATTAGCCAACTCAGCTCATATGGATACTAATAGATTAAGTTAAGAGAGCAATTAACACCAATTACCAAAACCTACACATTACCAGAAGAAAGCAAGCTTGAGCCTGAGCTTTAATAGATGGCAGTTCTGAAAAGATACATGAGTAAAAAGCAGATATGTGATATATTGGTCATTGCGCCAAAGGCGAAAAAAAAAAAGAGGAGACAAATCACAACAACTCATGAGTCCTCAATATGTGCAATATTCAAAAGAAAATATCTGCAACTACATGATGACTGCAAGTTTCACATATTTCACCAACCCATTAAAAATGAACCAACTGGAACCAGTGGCTGCTCTGAAAACCACTTCTATTTAAAACCTACTGATCTAAAAAACCTCCGCGTAATAAAACATGCTGCAGATGGTAATATCCTGGAATGAACAACACACACTCTCACTACAAAAAGATATTGTCAAGAAATAAGGTCTTCTACCTTTTTTTTCTCCCCAACATGTACAATAATCTTCTGTCCAGCAGCGACAATATGTAAACAACACACTGAGAGGGCAGAGCTCTAGCTATCATGGGCAGGGATTGGCTGAGGGATCTGACGGACACTTGGTGGGCGGGGTCTGTTCAGCTGACTGCTGTAGGCTGTTTGCAGTCAGAGATCATCCTCTCAACTGAAACACAAATCACATGAGGATGCATTACAGGACAAAAAGCCTTCCAGCAAATATACAGAACAACATATTCACGACATATCACGTAATTTTGTCCAAAAATATTTTATACTTTCCTTTTGCTTGATATTACTTATCAGAAACAAGAATATCTAATTCTTCATTAGTTGGGTTTAATCTAACAGCACTGCAATGACATTTTTAGGTAAAGATGAAAAGATGGAATTTATGGAATGCAGTAGAAGCAAAGGCTGCAATCAATTTTTATTAATAATTTAATTTTGTGCAATCACTGAAGAGTGTGTGATATTGAAATGCAAATGTAAGTGGACCTTGAGTTAATACTGACTTATCAGCGGCTGTTTCCAAGGTCAAGAATGAACTGTCTGCTAGAGGTGTTCAGAATCGGGATAGGTTGGAGTTTGCCCAGTTACCATTGACTTGATTGTTAATCTGCTGAAAAGTGTGTGACGTGGTCGAAAGCTCCAGAACAAGGGGATTCACTGTCAATTTAATGATGAATAATGATCAACTCAAAGTCAAACTACCTTTTTTATTTTCCAAGTTAAACTTGTCATGTTGTTGTGTCACATACATGACATTGTGTGGACTGTGTATAATGTGTTTAAGGGTTAAACAGTTATATGTACATTTTCAAATAAAACTTTGCATTTAAATAATGGTCTCAAACTGCTATCTGTATCTGAACATCTTATCTTGATAAAAGACAACCAAAGCACGGGCCTTTACATTTACACCTGGTAGAAATAAGGGTTCCCGTTATCTCAATTCGGCCCTCATTCTAATCAACAGCGCCTCCAGACCCAGATGAATCCTTGCCTTGACATGCATTGTCATTGCATCATCAAGGATTGGAATTACCTGTGCTACTACAATGGCTCGCATGCTAAAATTCTGTATAATGCACATTTCATACTCCGTACTGCTGCTGCTCACACAAAACACAGTCTTTGAATCTTGTTTTCCACTTACTTTGCTGTTTCTACAGTGCATTTACATTACCGTCAGTGGAACACTTCCTGCAGATGTTTCACAGCCTACCATTTATTAATACTGTATACTTTATACACATATACCGCCGCCATGTTAGTTAGAATTATTTATCATACCGTTGTTAGTGCTTGCTCATGGAGATCTGTGAAGCTTTGTAAAGCGAGTTGAGAAAATTTCTACTATGGTGCTAATTACTTACTGAACTCATTTTCATCTTGCATTTCATCAAAACTTGTTTTACAGTGTTATAATTTATTATACTTGAGTTGCTGCATTTATCTCGCTCTACACCTGCACTTAATATTCCCGCCTTGTCTACTCTGTCCCAGTTGTTATGCTTCAAATGTTAAGCTCTTTGATGCTTCTTTTCTTCTTCTGTGGTGCTATACGTGGTTTTAACAGAGATGGACTTATTCTTGCTTTTGTTGTGCTTGTATTTATTTGTTCTTACAAATTTTTCTTCTGCTTTTTGTTTGCAATGCTCCAAATGTAAAGCACCTTGAGCTGCATTTTATGTATGAAAAGTCTTATACAAAAAATGTGTTATTATAATTATTACCACAAAAGTGAGTCCACCCCTCACATTGTTGTAAATATTTGATTCTATCTTTTCATGTGACACTGAAGAAATGACACTTTGCTACAGTGTAAAGTAAGTGTAAGTGTACAGCTTGTATAACAGTGTAAATTTGCTGTCCCCTCAAAATAACACATCACACAGCCATTAATGTCTAAACCGCTGGCAACAAAAGTGAGAACACCCTTAAGTGAAAATTGGGCCCAATCAGCCATTTTTCCTCCACAGTGTCATGTGACTTGTTAGTGTTGCAAGGTCTCAGGTGTGAATGGGGAGCAGTTGTGTTCAATTTGGTCTCACACTCCCTCATACTGCTCACTGGAAGTTCAACATGGCACCTCATGGCAAAGAACTCTCTGAGGATCTGAAAAAAAGAATGGTTGCTCTACATAAAGATGGCCTAGGCTATAAGAAGATTGCCAAGACCCTGAAAACGAGCTGCAGCACGGTGGCCCAGACCACAAGACCATACAGCGGTTTAACAGGACAGATTCCACTGGTGTAAAGTAGAGCTACTGTCCTGAGGTGATCTTACTTGGTGGGCACGGTGGGTGAGCCGGAGCGGTGGAAGTGGATGTTCTGCCACTTGCTGTCGCGGCGGTGCCAGATGCGGGTCTCCTCCGACTGCATGGTGCGAGGTATGCCGTTGCCGTCGATGTACTGGGTGAGGCGGATGTAGGCAATGCAGGCGGCCTCGTCCCCGATCAGGTGGACATGGGGGTTGAGCAGGATAGTGTGGATGGGCTGCTTCCCCTTGGACAGAGCTGCAGAGGAAGAGAACATGGAGGATGGACATACACTGTAAAACTCTTTTAAAGAGCAAGTCTGGCTGACAGCTTAGATCTGAGAGGTGTAACTGATTCCCTACATTTACCACAGTTTCCCCTCACATCAGCTCCCCAGTATTCCCACAGGGGAACATTTGGGCCATTTCTTTGTTGCAGGGATTTTTCCACAGTCTCAGATGTCAGCAATGACTTTTGGTGAGTGTAATATTATTATTACTGATAGAAATGAAATCTTTTTTTTATTAATATTACATTTATTTTTTTTATTATTTTTTTTGCTCAACCATCCAGTTTGATTGTGGCCATTACATTGCTTTCATCAAAATTCTGTTCTAAAAGCATGCGGAGCGATGTTAGATTGAACAAGGATAGAAAGTAGATTTTCTTTGTTCTGTTATTCCAATGACTTTGATTTTAACCAGAATAACAACAAAGAAAATTACCAACCAGAGCACTTCACTTCCTTGACTGATGACAGAGTTGCAAGCGAAGAATTATGGACACTGTGCTTAAAATAATGCATGATACAGAGACTAATTAAAGTAGTGCCCAAATGACTAGTTGACTGATTAGTCCATCGACAGAAAATTACTCACCAACAAATTTGATAAAAAACTGTTAAATCATTCATCAGGCAAAAATGTCAAACAACCTCTGATTCCAGTTTCTCTAAGGTGGACGTGCAGCTTTTCTGTTTTTATGCTTGTACATTTTTAATCTTTGGGTTTGAACTAAAAACTCAATAAATTTGTGAGCAGCATTATTCCCTGTCTCCTAACAACATAATGTAAACAGGTAATAAAACAATATTGTTTTATTACTTGTTTAGATTATGTTTAAAAACTTTTATGCTAACGCTGGCTATGTTTTTAGTCTCATTTATTTGTCTGTTTGTCCTTTTTTAATTTTATTTACCTCTTATCAAACTATTTCCATGTAATGATTGTACCATGCTGTTAATGTCAAGATGTCATAACAAAGACATTGTCGGTTATGTTGTCTTGGTTATATAACTTCATGATAATATAATAAACAGCTAAAAGCACACAACAAAAATAACTCTGCTAATACGATCATGGTTCAAAGATAATATTTTACTTTATTTATGTTTAATATATTTTTAAACCTGGGCCCTATTATTACATATTTTGGGGTCAAAATGACTAGTAGGTACAAAAAGTTTTGGAATCTGTGCAGTAGATGCTTCAGCCGGGCAGCCGTGAACTGGCTGCAGTGGCTGCAATGTATTCCTTCGTGGCAATTGTGCCCTTCAAAATACTGTCCACAAAAAGTGTTAAAGAGACAGGTGTTGTCATTGAAAGGATCCCTACGAGGGACTGGCAGTGACACCTTTCCTTTTTAACAAGAAACTGAAGTCTCGCTCAAGGACAATTGATGAAATGAAAAATCTCATGAGATTGCAGGAAGACGACAGCGAAAAGGTGAGTCAGAGTTGAGAGGAGAGTTTGTTGCTGGAGAAACTATTACAGTCCCAAAACTATATGTTACTATATGATTCTGAGGCTGCTTCTTTACCATTCTCAAAGTAGAAGCGGTGGAAGTCTGTGCCCTCCACCAAGTTGCCCAAAGCCTCGGGTTCAAAGGACGTGAGGCCAGGATCACATATCTTCCTGAAATAGCACACCAGACAGCCATATTACAGTCACAGAAAGACAATGATTTGCTTTTACAGGTGGAATTGTGTCTGATATTTGAGGCCCAAGTCACTTTAACTAGCCGAACTCACGTGTAGGCCTCAAAGTCGCCGTTGTTGATGGCCTCGATCAGCTGCTCAGTGACTTTAATGATCTCCTGCTTACGAGCTGAGAGACAGACACAAAGGGAAACAAAGGACTGTTAGGTTAGCTTTGGACACACGAACCCTGATGAATGTGAAAAGAAGCACAATAAAATGAACCAATGTGGGACAGGAGAACAACGTCACACGCAAAAGCACAACATCAGGACGTTCAGGGACCGAGTCAAGAACCCACAGAGATGCACCGTCACACAGACGTGAGTGAAGGAAGGGCTGGTAGGAAGTTAGTCAGCGTGGTACAACATACTGTGTGAAAACATCAAAATTACCTTTCATGCTAAGTAGGTAAGCTAGGAAACAACCAATGGAGAGATTAAGTGCAGCTGTTGTGGCTTACTAAAATATACCCACTACTGACATTTAGTTTGGAGATGGCAAGGTGGAGTCAGTCAAAGAGTGAAAGGCTTCCACACACCCACACACACCTGTAAATCAGTTTTTACCTTCAACACTGCTGTTCCCAGCTAACTGAACACGCACAGTCTGCTGTTGCTGCTGTACATTGATTCCCTCAAGTGACAATAAAACCAACAAACTCACTGCAGGAAGGCGAAACATGCTCCCTCGTAAACTTGTTCGAGACAAAAACCAGTAGCCCCAGGATCAGTCATTTACAGAAGCAGGAAGAGACATAGGACACATACCGACAAGATAAAAGCCACAAAGCCTGTTCTGATTGGCCGTTTTCCTAAAAAGCCTGACACAGCTGAAATAATGTTAATCTAAAAGTGTCCTTTTGCACCAACTGTGGACTTTATGTTGCAAATAGCACACTGAGGACTGGCTGTGTTTACAGAGACAATATCAGTTTGCTTTTGGGGCCCAAAAATGGGCCTTATACAAACTTTAAGGAAACGGTACAATAATTTGACATTCACGCACACCAGGAGCTGTTAGTGTTTCTGCGTCTTGATGTGTAGACATCATGTAGATGGCGGGGACTGGGGATCAAACCACCGAATCTACAATAATTGGACAGTCGCTCTGCCACCACTAGAGCTGCTAGATTTTGGACTTCTCATAGTGTAAATAAGAGGCCTTTAACCTGAGCCGAGGAGGAGGAAGAAACTACATTAACTGCATTTCCAGTCATTTAGTTTCAGAAGTTTCCATACTGTAGTTGATTTTTTTTATACTAGTACTAGTGTCAAACTGATACAATAAGTGTGTTTCGGTATCGATGCCAAAATGATTGATGTGTTTTTTTTCCTGTTACCCTTCTTTGAAAAACATTTTTTCAAGAAACTTTTTTCCCTGTTTTTCAAGAGGCCAAACTTGTCAAATCTTCAACGTAACACAAGCAGCTGTACAAGAGACTAAAATGAATTGCCATTTTGCTTCTCTTCATTCAGCCTGACATGTTCACAGCTGCTGATTTGTGTCAGGTTGCGGAGGTTATTTTGTTCCGCGTTGCCCTAACCAATCAGTAGTTACAGAAGCATTTGTCCTGCTGACGTCAAAGGAAGCAGCTCTAGAGGTTGCTGGGAACAGTTAACTGTTTTTCAGACTAAAACTTTGCCAATTAAATAGTTCTTTCTGTCAGTGGACCACCAACAACCTGTACAGCTGAGATGACCTCATTAATTTTCAACGCCATCTTTCTGTCACTATTTCTCATGCATGTAGATACACAGGTATCTAAGGAGAACAATCATGTGACAGAGGTTGATGGAAAGTGAATTATAATAATGACTGAACATGAGCAGACATTTACAAGCAGCTTTTTAGTACTTTTGATTCTCTTTGCTATGGATGCATTTCAGTTTTTAATTACTTGTTTCTTTGCAAATTATGATGCACTGGCAGAGTTTATAGTAGCCAGTGTGTCAGATAAAAATGTGTTGTATTCTATTACATATGTACTTTTTTATTTTGTATATTAGAGAGAGTGCACACACTTTCCTCATTCAACTTTAGTGAAAGCAATCACTGTGTCATATTTCAATTAGCCTTTGAACAGAAACAAAAGCAGCATATGGAATCCTGGAACAGGGACATTTGTTACATTTCATCTAATGTAACAGTAATGTAAGACTGAACAATTCCACTTTGGAGGAAGAAAACATTTAAATGCAAGATCTGTGAAGGAGTATTGTTCTGTGGTAGAAATAGATGTGTTTGAGTACTTCCACCATTGTATCTTATTACAGCAGCACTAGTAGCAGTCTATTAAATATCAAGTAGCAACTTAAACCCCAAAACATGTGTCATAGTACAGAAACCAACATTAGCTAACATAATGTTAAAGCAGATGAAGACCTCGCTGTTGCTGTTAATATTGGAGAAGTGGAAGATCCTTTTTTCTCAGAGCACTTCACTTCTGTCTCTCTGGAAACAGAGAAGAAGCTGACACTAAGTGAGAAGAAAAGAATACAACCTCTAAGGTCCATTATAGCAGTATGAAGAGGCCAGCCTCAGCTGTATAATAGTCTTTCCTCTGGGATCTCTTATTAGAGCACGGACAGAAAGACAGAAGGTTGGCGTGCACACACTCTAATGGACAGAAACATACACACACGCGGCAGTAAGGAAACTAAGCAGATAAACTGATCCTCGACAGCAGCAGGACTGTTGAGCCAAAAGAAACAAAGCACAGAAGCATTTAGTGTAACTGCAGGAAGAGATGATGGATCAGATGATGACACAAAAGTGACACAAAATATGTTTCTCAGGCATTTGCGCCGCTTCTTTCTATAATCTTATTTAAGTAAAATGCATTAATGTTGGTTTCAGACCACACAAACTATTCATCAGTACCAAAAAACAAAATGTTTATCAAACATGATTTTCATACAAAAACATTTTTGTCTAAACACAAGAACTTCAAAAGCCTGAAATTTTAACTTTTTGATTTAAATCCAGAAGTGTGTGATCACGGAACAAGTTAACCATGTAACAAACACAGCCAGAAATTTAATTCCAGCTTTCAGTACTGAACAGTATTCAATACTTTGTCACAGATCTGATACTCAGCCTGAGTGCAGAGCAGTCCCTCTTCTTCTTTATCAATTTATTCAGCTTTTCTAGAAATGACATGGGTTTGATTTGACGGCTAGGAGTCTGTAAAATACATACCATGTAACAACTGTCATATCACATGAAGAAAAGTTGAAGTTCATTCGACCAATCCATGGAAAAAAAAAACTTTGATTCCACAAAAAAGTCCAAGCGTCTACTCCATTAAAGCACAGAACACACACAATAAGACATTACAATCATCCCAAGTAGCAAGTTCAATGGACAAAATACCATAGAGTCTGTGTCACACCTCCACTTGTAAGGAATGTGCAGATGTGTAGTTGTAGATTTTTTCTTACTTTAGAGCCATTGCTTTTTTTTTTTTTTTTTGAAATATTACAGGCCTCTTAAATTCCTTCAAATGCAACATTCTGTAAAGGAAAAATTATTCTTATTGCCAAAGAGGGTCACAAGTAGACAATTCATGAGTAAGGGCCCACCAACTGTAATACAGTCGAGAGTGAGGGTGTCATGACAGCTTCTGACCTGTGAGGGGTGCTATAAGACAGCAGCTCTGCACTCAGACACAGCGGCTGAGGTGGGGTTCAGTTTGGTCCAATTTTTTTAGCCAACTTAAACAATTTTTTTAGAGCATAGGACATTTTTAAAGTTTTCCCTGAGCAAAAAGTTAAGTATCTTTAAAATGATGTAATACTCATAAGATGCAGCAAAGGATATTACTGAACCAAAACTGTTCTGAGCACACTATAATTTTGTATTTTGATTAAATCCCAGGCAGAATCAATGTACATTCACTGAAATGGTTAAATGATAATAAATGATTATAAATGATTAAACTAACTCTTGCTCTTTGCCTGTAGCAGACAACATACTGTGTTTCTGTCTGATCACTGATGCCAGCACTGCCTATGTGGTTTAACAGTAAAACGGGCCAAGAGTTGGGTGACATTCCTCTGCGAGCCCAGTATTCATGTTAAATGATGCTCTGAGTCTGAGCCTGCAGTGGGTGTCAGGCTGTGCCATCTTAAATCTACTGGTCTCCCATTCTCTGGCCCTGACCTAACTTATCTTTACGCTGCCTTTAACTCTGACCCAAGCAAAGAGCAGCCAGTGTGCGGCTTGACCCGGCCGGCTCAGGCATAAGTTTAGGGATTTTGCCAAGAATTTACACTTCTTCTTGCTACACTTGTGAATATCTTCAGTGATACCAAAAGGAGGGGAGGCTTGCAGTTTCTTCCTAACGACTGGGAAATGGACTTACACTGGGAGTCGGTGGGGCCAAAGCTTGGCAGGGGCAACCTGTGCTGGGGGCCGTACCCCTGTGTGGGGGTCTGATGAGGGCTGCAGTGGCATGCGGTGAGATGGTCAGTGAAAAAGACCAGAAAGGAAGATGTGAAGAAGAGGAGCAGGTAGGCCGCCACCAGTGCCCACAGGATGTACTGGCAGCACTCTTCACCACTGGGCCAAACGCTGGGAGAGTACCAGCCGCAGGAGAAGGAGGAGGAAGAGGAGGATGAGGAGAAGGGGGAGGGGGAGGGGGAGGGAGGCCGGGGAGAGGGGGAGTGGTTTAAGTGCCTGAGGTGGTAGATTTGGGGGCTGGAGGAGGGAGAGTGTGCTGAGATGAAACAGTGGGTACAGAGGAAGGATGGATGGCAGGAGATGTAGGTTGGCGTTGGTGTGGTAGCGGGAAGGACAGGAAAACATGAAATGAAGAATAAATGAAAAGCATGCAGGAAATGGCAGTTTGTTCAAAGCTCTCAATTCTTTCACCAGCTGAGAACAAATCAGTTTGGACAGAGCATGTGGAAATGTTCAGGGGTGTAAAGGTGAACAACAACAATAATGGAAGCGTTTCGTCAGATAGAAGCTGAGGTGATGCTGCAGGAGCATGAGCATCAGATAACTAAATAATCCAATGAAAAGATCCATATCAGCTTCATCTCTGCATGCATTTAAATAGCTTAGCTCAGAGACTCAGCTTTAAAGGTTACACACACACACACACACACACACACACACACACAGCGATGTTTGGCTACATTTGCTACCACCAACCTTCAGGGAGTATTAACTGATTTTGTTTTTGGGCCACTTAGGAAAAACAACATGTTATAAAGTATGCACTCTCCTTATAGCTCTGTTTTAGTCCGCACCAACTGCAGAGAATCTGGCTGTTTAGCTGCAAAATGTGCCACTATGTTCACCAGCGAGAGACTCATTTGGCCTTTCTCTTATTTGATGCTGTGTATGTAGTTTACAGTGAGGGTTTTGCACTGGAGGAAGTTGCCAAGGTTGGAGAGCAGTGAACAGTAAACTCACAGTCTGTAAGACCTGCAAGAGGCTAAAAAGCTCAGTAAAACCGAGAGGAGCCGCGGAGTTGATGACAATTCTCTGCGGGTTTGTGGCTATGAGTCACTTCTTTCACATTAGATTATTATTATTGCTACAGGGACGGCCCTGGGCTGAAAAACCCATACAATTTTAAAGCCAGTGTAGATGGAAAGCCAGGTCAATAACGAATACGTTTGATCAGCATACTTGCCAATCTCCAGACATCCCAGTTTAAACCGGGAGAGCGAACCTAACCTTTCATCCGGGAATGTTACCCTCAGAAACTGTGTGTCAACCCAGAATTTTCTTGCATTGTAGTGAATTTATGGGCTGATTTTGTTGTTGAAATGCAAGCGCATAGGTTTTGATTCAAAATCCAGCCCACAGACTCCGCTCTCAGCCTCGTTTGCTCTGAGCCACATCCTTTCCTCAGGAGTTTGTGGAGACCACGCCAGAGCTAAAAAGGAGAGTGAATATTGGACTCACATTCACCAGGTGGACACAAACGTGACCCTAGTTAAATGCTAATGGTCTGAGGGTGTGTACAGACAACTGCTTGCAACATGTTAGCTACATCTCCAACAATATGATGTTGTGCTTTCAGCTTGCTGTGGAGTTCATTTTCCTCCAAGCAGTCACAAAAAAGATCAGTTAATAAAGCTTTATCATACCTTTTCAGATTAAAACACATCATTGCCTCCACTTTTCAACCAAGCCACCGAAGAAAAGAAACGCTGGACACTTTACTAAATCCATTTAATGCAATGGAAATAAGACACCCAACAGGAATCAATCAACCACATTCACATCAGTGCAAATGAGTCGCATTCAAGAAATAGGAAATAGTAGTTGCTCTATTATATTCCCACTTCCTGCCACAGAGAGCTTCTTCACAAAAAATGTAATGATTAAAATCCTCTGCTCATTTCATAAAGATTTCTAAGCCTTTTAGTTGGCTGAGGCTGTGACACATGCAAGACAGATGAACAACTGTATTATAGTATGATACAAAAGGATTATAGCAGAAAGAAATGATGAGGGGAAAATCTCTTCTTTGGAAAAAAAAATCTCATAAGTAGAGCAGTGTGGAGCAATTTCAAAGCTTCGCTGAATAAGATTACTGGAGCATTGAGGAATGCCGACCCTATCAGCCATGAATAACAATGGAAGCCATTATAAGCGTCAGTTCCATGTCTCTTAATGGGCCTGTGTATGTACTGTAAGTATGGGAACACATACGCACGCACGCACGCACGCACGCACGCACAGCAAGGAAAGATGAATGTGAGAGGCCTCAAGAAATCAGAAAATGCTTATTTTTACAAAATGTTAAAAATGTGGAAAGATTCTAATCTCATAGTCTGACAGATTCTCTATACTATCAAAAGGTTACTACTGCAGTGAACAACAAAAAAACACAGACAGAATGACACATTCACAAATCAATTCCACTTTTGAAATGGCTCCATATTGAATATGTGGTAATTTGAACAGATTTTCAAGTAGCATTTCAAAAGCCCCACCTCCACCTCTTCTATGACCCCTCCCTACTCTGCTCAGTTTGGTGTTTCTTTGAGGGGAGAGATTAGGTCAGAGCCTAGACACCAAATATTAACATTTTCTGTCCCCTCCAAGCTCTGAGACAGTGTGTGTGTGTGTGTGTGTGTGTGTGTGTGTGTGTGTGTGTGTGTGTGTGTGTGTGTGTGTGTGTGTGTTTTATCATCATCATCACTACCCATCAGCTGCACTGATCCGTGGTTTGAGTTCATGGTACTGGGACAGCCATGACATGCAAAATTAAGCAATTCGCACCATGAGAAATGAAACATATTCAAACTGGAAGACAGTAAGTAATACAACATGCAACACATTCATGCAATATTACACAACCAGTAACAGGGTGCTGTCAAAAATGCCCCTGTGAAGAACATGGTTAGCCCAAAGCTAATAATAATGTGAGCGAGGGCACTCAAAGCAGAAAAAGAGAGGGGACTTCATACACACCACTTGTTTGAGAGTTTAGAGGAAAGTTTTAATGCAGGTGCTTTGAAGTTGTCCTGCTAACAGAAGAGTAGTCTGTATTCATTAGTCTGAACCTCCCTACCTCTCACGTCCTCGTCCTCGATGGTAGTGTTGGCACTCTCACTGGACTCCTGTGAAAGGACAAATGAGAGACATGAGTATACCCAGCCTGACAGAAAAGCCCAAACAAGCTGAGGACAGACATCTGTGCTCAGCGGAGATCAGTGTTCGATCTCAACAGATCATTTTATCATCAGCTATTAGCATCCCTTACATCCTAATTTGGGATTAGACTATTGATTGGTATGTTGGTTTTCCTTTCTTTCGCAGATCTCAGCATTTAACATAGAGTACCCTCTTATTATTACCAATGGGAATGATGGCCAAAACTAAACAGAATTATATTTCATATGGAAACTGCACTTTACCCATAAATCATCCTTTACACATTCTTCCTTTTCACCCCTTTAAATAAGAGATTTCATGTTGCATGACTCATTACTTGTACAATGATTCTATCTTTGCTTGTGACAAACAAATATCTGATTCAGCAAACACAAAAAAGCAGAGTTGCATTGGTAAAAGTGATAAGCTGCGAACTCTCTTCGACACTCTACTATGCACGAGTACACAAACTCTATGCTACACTATGTGCTACAGCACCATCATGTCACTGCACAAAGCAAAAGACAGAGGCATGCACGTGTTCCCACACTGTCATCTGATTATTATACATGATAATGTAGATCCACACATCTGCACAGGCAAATCACCAAGACACTGTAGACAGACTCCAGGCTATTCTGTTAAGGATTTGGCTTGGAACAGCTTTGGTATGCATGGCACTGCGTGGTCTTTATTTCTGTTCCAACAGCATGCATAATCCCTTTGTCACACAACTGTAAAACTGACTGATGTTACAGAGACAATGGTAGCACATGCTTTTCATCGGCTTAAACACCGGCATGACAACAAACTCATTTTTATGTTCAGATCTTACATAACAACTGCTTCAATATCCAGAATAGAAAGTAATAAACAAAATTGGACACATAGATAACCAGCATCAAGTCAAATAATTCCATGCAACAGTTTACAACAGCATGCAATATTTTACAGAATCCACAATCTCTTGTTTTATCACATGGCATGTTCTGTCTCAATAACAATAGCACACAAACATCATCATCAGAAGCAACATTTAGGCTCTACTCTAAATGGCGCACACGTCAGCAGCAAATTACAGCTTCAGACTAGCATCTGATCAGCTGTATACCTTGTTTCCATCAGCAGGGTTGTGGATAACAGTGGTTTGAGGCTCCTGATTTGAGAGGACAGTAGGAAGAGAGGGTGGTGCAAAACCAAAGTGAGTTAGGAAAAACGATTGACAGAAAAGTATTTTGCAAGAAAGGAAAAAAGTAAATATTCAAGTGGTAAAGGAAGCGGGGGAAACTGACATTATTGCTGATTGGGCTAAACAGAAATATTACAAAACAGAATAACTGCAGCATCTTATTCAAGACAGATGGGATGGGATTACAATGGAAGTTGAGACAATTCCCTGAACATCAAGTATAACAAGTTTTACCCAACACCGATGGCAAGATGACAACTTACATTCAACACAGAACTTACACTCAACACAGACACCATGGGAAATGACCTGACGTCTATCTGCCTTTCCTAGCCAACAGCCGTAGGATACCAATGTGTTTTTTCTACAGCTAAAACATCCAGGAAAGGTTCACCCGAGTATGTAAAAGGCAGGCGTTTGACCAATCACACGTAACTTTACACACACAAACATACAGCTGTACTACTAAAAATAGATTAAAGAAATCATCTAAAACCAGATTTGACAGAGAGGTAACAGATGTAAATAACAGGATGGATTTCCAACTTACATGTACAGTTAATGCTATTGCAAAACTGTTTGCTGTACACTGGCGCTGCATCACTGTGTCCCAGCTGACAAGTTGTTACATTATTTAACTTTGACTGAGGCTGGGCTATCTGCAGGTGAACACTCTGTGATGATGCTCATGTTTTCTGACAGTACATGGTCCCTAGTCCACCTCAGGATAATATTACTGTTGCAATTGCTGCATTTGTGCTGTAGGTGTGCAGACAATTTTCTGGCCTTCGAACTTTCTGGAAGTAAAAACTTTCTGGAAGCAAAATTTCTTGCCTAGACAATGTTGGCACTTCCAATGTTTGGAAGGCCGTGACTTTTTATCAAAAGGAATAGTTCAACATTTTGGGAAATAACGCTGATTTGCTTTTGTTACCAGAGTGAGGTGAAAAGATTCATATTAATCTCCTGTCTGTGTATTTACAGAGCTTCAGTCTGGGCATGGTTAGCCTAGCTTAACAAGTGGAAGCAGGGGGAAACTGCTGGCCTAGCTCTGTCCAAAGTTATAAATATATACCAATACCTCTAAAGTTGACTAATGAACATGTATCCTGTTTGCCTAATCTGTAAACAAGCTGAAATGTAAATGTTTTTATTGGGAGAAAGAAATAGTTCCCTCATACAACTCCCCCTAAAATCACAACTTGGTGTTTTTGCATTTCAGTTTGGGTATAGATTAAACAAAACAAGGTACATAGTGTTACTTAGTCAGCTTCGGACCTGCTGGTGCCCTAACCTGCTAAGTATATTAAAGCTATGTACCTTGTTTCTGAGATCCAGGCACGTTTCCCACCGCGCCATGTCTTATGCGTCTTATGCTAGCTGGGCTAACCACTTCCTGACTCCAGCTCAATATTTCACACACAGTAACTCTCACAATAATTAACTGTCATGAGAGAAGTCAACCACCAACAATTCTCTGATTCAAATCTCTGCCTGGCTGATGGTCATGGGTACTGTAGTTGTCAGAGCTATTTGGGATACCAAATGGGCAGAAATAAACCTGAAATTAAGCATAACATAAACCTGTAACGACTTAATGATGATTTATCTAGGAGACTCAGTGTTGCCACTTCAAAGAATATTGAGGTTATCATTAAAATGTAAATGGTTATTTGCAATGATTTGCAATTACAACTCTAAAACCCAACAGCAAACCGGTGTTGTCTCCAGTTTGGTTTAGGTGACATGCAATGGCCCCAGTGTTGCCATTACAGTCATCATCAACAACAAAGGAAATGTAGCCCATGTACAGCAATGTGGCAATGCAATCAAGCAACCCAGAAGTGCATTTGGATGGCTCATGTTACACAACCATTAAACCATCTACACTAAAGTGAGAGAGTGGAGTTCAACAGAGCTGCAGAATCAGACAGATGCTACTGAAAGTATGGACAGATAGAGACAGACAGTCGTGCAAACATGCATGCAGCAAGGCAAGCAGACAGTGTACCAGAGAAGGAGTGGGGACAGGCTCTTTGGGGCTGGTGACCACATTGGCCTTGTTGTTGATCTGGAGGGACAGACAGGTAGACAGACGGGACAGGGCAGAAGTGAAAGGCTTAGTGTTCAAATAATTGCTCTTCGAGCAGCCGCTGTGGAGGGAAAAGTGGAACATTGTGCTCAGGAGTCGCTGTCAAGAATAGCGAGTGTCAGTGAGTCAGACATCAAATGAGTGTGGCCCATCCAGCGCACAACAGCTTCAGTTTGAACAGGGTAAGCAAATCAGCATCCTTTATTTAAAACAGTATACCATAAAAGAAACCAATTCCATAAAGAGTAAATAAACCAAGTTAGAGAATTATTTTAAGCTTACAGAGCTAGATGAAGAGAAACACCCTGGGGTGAAACAAATCACCCAATTACTCTGTAGAAGAATGATAAATTAGACTAAACTCTGAATTGACATTTCGACTTGTTGCACAAGTGCTGCCTTCTGCATGTCCCACAGTAAAACCAGATTATGGTGTTTTCTGGTAGCTATAACCATAACTCTGATAAGTTGTTCTCATGTCTATAAGACACCTGAGTATGTACTTTTATTCCTGCTAAAAACAATCTTAAAAAATGAACAACAAAGTTGTTCACTCATGTGATTGGATGGGTTTACAGTATTACAGTAAAAAGAAAGTTCCGGGAACAATAATATTACAATGTTAATATGCTGATGTTTAGCAGTTCAGGCGGTTTCAGACAGTGAGCAGCTGCCAACGTGGCTGCCTCCAATCCTACCAGCCTGTACACCATAGCCTAATACTATCCACCTAGTACTGAATCATCGCATAGTTTAATAGAGCGGGTTGCAGACTAAGATGGATGAAATGATCAGAATCTGACACGATTACAAGCTGATGTTACTCCAGTACCGTTTATCTTCTTTGATCTGCCTTCCTGGATCTGTGGTTGCAAGACACCTATTATAGTGTTGATGCTGGCCAGTATTTACCATGAGGTTTTCATAATCTGGTAATCACAGTTTTAATGATATCTATAATAAAATCTAAAATGGTTATACTAGCAGTGGGAAATCTGACTGTGGTTTGTCATTAAACCGCTAACCGGTTCATCCCTAACCGGGTCTTCCATCTGCAACAGGCTGCAATGGAACCACAATTCTTCCCGAACCGGCTAAATCCACATGGGAATCCATCCAATAGTTAGAGATATTTCAGTCTAGACCATAGACTGTATAAAAAAAGTGGACGTAGCCACCGTGACGTTACCCGTTGGTTTGTGGTAGTTTTGAAGCCTTGAGTTTGGCATATTGGCTGTCGCAATCTTGAGACCATAACCTCATTAGGAAAGTGTTTACTGAGGTAATAAATCAGCTGAGAAGTAGGGTCATATTCTTATAGACTTCTATACAATCTAACTTCTTTTTGCAACCAGTGGAGTCTTCTCTTCTTGGTGTTGACCAAAGTGGTGGACTGACTGCCATCCCTAAAGCCATGCAGCTAGCACAGCTAAAACGTGGGTTTGTCACATTCATGGACTAGACCCTCTGTCATTAGGCAGTCAACAGTCTTTCTCGTTTCTTTGATGCATCACCATCAGTGTCACTTAACATTCCAATTCACTGGTTATTATAATTATAAACACCAGTACGCTAAAGGTCATCATACTTTACAGTATTTACATTACATTTATTCATTCAGCTGACGCTTTCATCCAAAGCGACTTACAATTGCCATATATGTCAGAGGTCGCACGCCTCTGGAGCAACTAGGGGTTGCTCAGAGTGGGGAACTGAACCCGGGGTCTCTCACACCAAAGGCATATGTTGTATCCACTGCCCCATCACCATGGGTGGTGCCAAATAACTTCCATTTACTCATTTGGCAGACGCTTTTATCCAAAGCGACTTACATTTGAGGAACAACATACAATCATTAACAGTATCAAATACAGATCTACAACTGACAATACATACTAGTAAGAGCAGCAATAAATACTAGTAAGAGCTCATAGTTCATATCACATCAATGGGGTAAATACCTAGGGAAGGAAGTAAGAGTTAACAAAAAAAGTGCAATCAATACAAGATAATTGTAAGGAGATCGAAGAAGAAGAGCACAGGAAGTGCATGTTAGAGGTTAGGAGTTAGAGGTGTTATAAGAGGAAGTGTTCTTGGAAGAGATGAGTTTTCAAGAGCTTCTTGAAGTTAGAGAGGGACGCCCCTGCTCTGATGGCGTGTGGTAGCTCGTTCCACCATGAGAACAGCCGGGACTGGGATTGCTTTGAGTGAAGGGATGGCAGAGCCAGGTGGAGTTCGTTGGAGGAGCGTAGCGGCCGAGAAGGAAAGTAAGTTTGTATTGTGGAGTTTAGGTAGATGGGTGCAGACCCATTAGTCACTCTGTATGCAAGCATTAGTGACTATCGGGGAGCCAGTGGAGGTCACTGAGTAATGGAGTGACATGAGTCCTTTTGGGCTGATCAAAAACCAGACGCACTGCTGCGTTCTGAACCATTTGTCAGGGTTTCACCGCACAAGCTGGAAGACCTGCTAGGAGGGCATTGCAATAGTCGAGGCGAGAGATAACCATTTCCTGTACCAGAAGCTGGGTGGCATACTGAGTGAGGTAGGGCCTGATTTTCCTTATGTTGTATAGAGCAATGCGGCATGACCGAGAGACAGCAGCAACATGGTCTGAAAAGGATAGCTGGTCATCAATCATGACACCCAAGTTTCTCACCAGCCTGGTTGGAGTGATAGTAGAGGAGTCAATTTGTAGTTTGATGTTATGGTGAACAGATTGCTTGGCTGGAATGACCAAGAGTTCAGTCTTAGAGAGGTTTCGTTGAAGGTGGCAAGCCTTCATCCATGCAGATATGTCCGTGATCCGCGTCGAGACGGTTGGGTCATCTGGCGGGAAGGATAGGTAGAGTTGCGTATCGTCTGCGTAGCAGTAGTAAGAGAAGCCGTGAGAGCAAATGATCGGCCCCAGTGAGGTGGTGTAAATTGAGAAGAGAAGGGGCCCTAGCACTGAGCCTTGGGGCACCCCTGTGGAGAGGATGATAATTGTCCTTGCCACACAACATTGTAGGAACACCCCGAGAGGTAGGATTCAAACCACAGGAGTGCTTTACCCAAGATGCCCGTTGCTGAGAGTGTGGATAACAGGATCCTGTGGTTGAATGTGTCAAGGCAGCTGAAAGCAGGATAAGAACTGAAGATTGGGCTGCAGCTTTAGCTGACCTTAGGGCTTCTGTTACAGACAAAAGAACCGTTTCAGTAGAGTGGGCACTCTTAAAACCAGACTGATATGGATCTAGGAGGTCATTCCGTGAAAGGAATTCTGAGACCTGTTTGAATACTGCCCGTTTGATAGTTTTGGATAAAAATGGTAGAAGAGACACTGGCCGATAGTTCTCAACTTGAGTTGGGTCAAGTGAGGGCTTTTTGAGCAAGGGTGTGACCAGTGCCCTTTTGAAAGTGGTCGGGAAGGTTCCTGAAACCAGAGAAGTATTTATCACATGAGTGATTGCGGGGAGGTAGGAGATATGGCTTGGAGGAGATTCGTAGGAATTGGGTCCAGCGGGCATGTAGTGGGACGGCTATGGGTCAGGAGTTCTGATACTTCGCTCTCTGTGAGAGGAGTAAACAAGGAGAGCGAAGAACCATTGACCTGGGAGGGCAGAGGAAAAGATGTAGTAGGACTGCTACAATGGTTGAGTTTGAGTGTTTTAGAGAATTGGCTGGTTATAGCCGCCACTGAGCAGCAAAGGTATCAGCAGACAAGTTTGTGGGTGGAGGAGGATTTAGTAGTGTTTTAAAAGTGGAAAATAATTTCCTTGAGTCAGTGGCACTGCTAGTTCTGTTATTATAGAACGCCGTTTTGGCAGCACTTACTTAAATGTGTTTAATCATTATTCGTATGTGATAATTAATTTAAAAATGCCAAATATGGTAAATCTGCCTACATTTGTAAAGAGTGTTTGTCAACTCCAAAAACAGGTGTTACAAAGGGGTGTCTTGTAAAGTAAAAGTGTTAATAATAAGAACACATTGGCAATGACAGACTCATGTGCATCTGGGTCTGAATCTGAATAATCAGGTTACCCTTTGTGTCATGATGAAAACCAGTCAGGATAGACTCTACTAAATATAGGAGCAATTAACATAATCACTGACAAAGACATGCCCAGTAACAGACTCAAAGCAGAACAAAGGAAATAAGACATGATAAGAATGTGCGCCGGGTCTGTTTCTACAGCTATTGTACTATTTACCTGTATTACTATAATGACGCCAGCTACTTTACCTCCAAATCTACAGCACAAGGTACAAGGTCAGATTCTGATATTATCCAGTTGATACTACACTATATGGAAAAAAAAGTATTGGGACATACCTCCACATTTCAGCTACAGAAGCTTTAATGACATCCCATTCTAAACCCATAGGCATTAATATGGAGTTGGCAACTTCCACTCTTCTGGGAAGGCCTGGCTAGCAATCTCTGTTGTAGTTCATCCCAAAGGTGTTGAGGTGAGGTGAGGGTTGAGGTTAGGGCTCTGTGCAGGCCAGTCATGTTCTTCCACACCAAACTCATCCAACCATGCAGTTATGGACCTTGTTTTGTGCACTGGGGCACAGTCATGCTGGAACAGAAAGGGCCTTCCTCAAACTGTTCCCACAAAGTCTGATGCATATGAAAGAATTTTCTAAAATGTCTTGGTCAGCTGAGGCATTAACATTTCCCTTCAGTGGAACTAAGGGGCCCTGGCCAACCCCAAAAAAACAACCCCTAGCAATATCCTCCACCAAACTTTATAGTCGTCTACAGTTGTTTACAATGTAGTCAGGTAGGCAACGTTCTGACATTCGCCAAATCTAAGACGTTTCCACTGCTCCAGTCCAATGCTGGCGTGCTTTACAAGATTCAAATCCAACACTTGTGGAATATCAAGGAGGGAATACATTTCACGAACTGACTTGTTGCCATGGCAGCATCCTATTACAGTACCAAGCTCAAATTCAGTGAGCTCTTTGGAACGACCCATTCTTTCGCAAATATTTGTAAAGGCAGACTGCATGGCTGGGTGCTTGATTTTATACACCTGTGGAAATGGGATTGAACGAAACACCTGAATTCAATTAAGAGGTGTGTCCCAATACTTTAGTCAATATAGTGTGTGGAAAGCGTCGTGGAAAAAAAACAACCTACAGACTGCATTTTTCTAAGATTTATAATAATACTGGGGAAGCACAACATGACTCTTAACCTGAACCACTACTTACTTACCACACTACTTATTGACAATTGATTTTTTTAAAGGGTTGGTGTTTTTTTTTTTTTTTTACAAAGATGCTCTTGCAAAGTCTAACTTTGATTCAATCAAGAACAGGATTGGTTTTTGTGGCATGGTATAAACTGGCCAGCACTAGTTATTTCTAATAATATGGTCTATTCAGGCACGCAGTCTACACTTGTATGTCTTGTATATACACTGGTATGTCTCAGGCAGAGACAAATATCTCCATGGCAAAACCATTAAGGGGCTGTGAGAATGATGAAGATGATAGAACGTAAACTCCCCCCAGCTTGCAAAACCCCCACAATAAATTTTCTTAGAGGTAACCTTAGTGTTCTCTAAAGCTGTTAGCTACAGCCCTGAACATGAGAACAGAAGACAGATGTTTGTATAAAGTACTTTCCCTAATTACTGTGTTCTGTCTATGTTATAATCGTATTGCCTCTTTGTTGATAAACTGATTGGCTATTCAACAGTGTGTGATGTGTTCACTGTCTGTTCAGTCATGCTGTGCCTCCCCAACCTTAAACAGCACTTTGGTGGAATTTAAATACAAGGGGTTTTCTACTGCTAACTAACCACTGCAGGTGTCAGTAAGCACAGGCCTACCCTCAAATGTTCTGTACCGTCCGTCCTCCTTTTCTGCATTGAGCACCAGAACAGAACCAAACAAGAGAGAAAATTTACCAATGCCTTACTGTGGAACCCTCTCTCTCTCTCTCTCTCATAATGTGCACAGAGCAGTGGAGGGTCATTTTCCATAAACTCATGAACAAAATGTCAGTACATATTCGGACCAGCCTTTCCTAATGCCATTAAATAGATGATCAGTATCAACCCACAACAGTATTTAAAGGAGTGTAAGTGATTCTGAAGGACTGTTGATATTTGAACTTATCTGCCAAACAAATACACCCCCTCCTTTCAGTGTTCCCTCAGACGCTCCGCCCCCCTAATTTCAACTCTGAGGTTTCTCCAGCATTGAAATTCCTTCACCCTCGCCTGTCAACTTTCTTCTCCGTTTATACTCTTAAGACCTTTGGCTGTTTCTTGGCCATCTGTCCTCCTTCAGTGCCTAGAGTCTAGCAAAATGCCCCTTCCAGCTCAACCTTCCAGCTCTCCTTGATCCTAGCAGCAGCAGGCAGCTCTGATAAACTAACAGTAACCTGCTCAGCAGCAGAGCACATTTAGCAGCTAAAAAGCCAGATATTTCACTCAGGAACTGGTGGAGACCAAAAAAAGAGCAAAAAGACAGAATATTGGACATCAGGTGGAAAGAAATAATACTGATGTTGCTTCATGAGTGTTGTATTTGTAAGTAGGCCGTTTGTCAACATACTAAACGAAGCATATATAAGTCACATTAAATAAAAATCTACTCTGATTGGATTTTCCTGGAATGATTTTCTACAGCACAAATAGTCCCAATGAAAATCCATCCACATTTAGGACTGTGGATTGTCTAGAACTTTAACCACCGTTTTTGATTTTTAGAGCTTTAGGCAGCAAAAACAAAATCTTATTCACCTTCATTATATTGGGGTGGTGACATGAGTATGAGGCAGATATTCCAAACCTTTGCCATACTAGAAACCACTAGGGTTAAGTGGGGGGGAAAAAAAAAACCTTTAAGGAACACCCTCCCCTCTCCCAAAAGGGGAACGGTAACAACCTTAAACAATGGCCAAATTGAATGAGAGATTTAGAGGCGCAAAGTTGAATTAGGAGAAACACACACACACACACACACCCTTGGTTGTGTCAGTGGAGGATTTTCATCATATGACAGCTGAGTGGAGAATAGCGGGGAGATGAAGCCTTTCTCCCACCCTGGAATCATTATTTAATCATCAGTTATTAGTTTCCAACAGAGTCCTCGGCTCAGATGTTCGTCCTTCTCTCACACAGATTGACAATGCAGAAGGGGATCATTATTGGGAAATATCTGTCACACCCACTTGGGAAAGATTAGTTTCACTGAGCTTCTATTTTTACCAAAGCAGTAGCGCTGCTTGAGTTCATGGGCCTACAGTATTCAAAGAACAGCACTTTAAACATGAGCTGAAACCTGCGGAGGTACAGTGTGATATGTGGTCCCGTAGTACGGAAAACAATAGTCAAGGACATGTAAGCTTTCTGTACAAGAAAAAAAAAAAAAAGTGTGAGGGAAGCTGAACTTACTTTGACACCATCTGGTTTCTTGTTCAGCAGGCTCTTGGCTGCTGTTGAGAAAAAAAACCAACAATGCAAGGAAATGAGTGGACAGCTGGAATTACCACGTGTACACACACACACACACACACACTATGTCTATTCAAGGCTGGCCAATTACTAGCAACCTCAAAGTGGACCCTGCTAGAAGTGGAAGCAGAAGAACAAAATGCAAATTAAGTCAGGAGATGAAATAAAACTTTGTGAATCATTAGTCTCGAACATGCAATTAGATCCATCTGACAAGACCATAGGAGACACTGTCAGCAGCAGTCCAGGGAACTGAGCTCTTTAGCTTCTCTTCCCCTTTCTCTACCCACTTTCACTCAACACGCGACAGAAACACCTTTGATTTTTAAGGAGTGAGCTGAAATCATGTAAGTGGGGACTGTGTCTTCAGGTTTTGGTGGCCAATGAAGACCACCTGTATTTTCAGTTAACATGCAAGGACAGGTCTGAGACACAAACAGATGATTGGTAGTGGCAGGGAGAGCATGTGGCTTTCGGGGTTTTGTGCATCCTCTATGACAATGAGGGTTGATTGGCAGGAAGGGGTTTGTCAAACTATAGACATGTGCATGTTTAGTAACTGATAGAGGCTTTGCAGTGACATCAAATATCTTTTAGCAGCCATATTGGAGGAACGCTTAAAAAAAATAAACTGTAATATCCAGTCAGTACAGCTCAAATTAAATGATCTCATCGGGTGGAGTTGGGTTTAGCCACATCCATGACAAGCCTAAAGCCCCCTATGTGTAGATTTTTTAAAAATGATTCATGATTCATCATTGAAATAACTCAAATGATATCAGGTTTTGTTTGTGTCTTTTTGGATTATACCACTTTGAAGCTGATGACACACAGAACAACTTTTAGAGCAATGGTGCTGGGCAATGTTGCCGTCAATGGTATTACTACCGTAATAACCTCCTCTGATCTTTTGCATGTCCCGTAAGTAGTTTAGACATTTTTCAATCTTTCCTTTTCTCCAACATGGCCACCGATGAATACACTCTGTCAGCTGAAAGCCCTATACGGGAGCTTTAGTAGACATGACATGCCTCAGTACCAAACCTGACAGCGTACTTTGACACTGAGGAAGTGCCAACTATGCCGAGAGCTCTTACCTTACACATGAGTTACCACACAAGAGGGGGAAGGAAGAAAAACAGAAGTAAACACTAAGGGCATGATTACACTATGACTGAACACTGCCAATGTGAATAAAACTAATGTAAGCTTGGCTGTCATTTGTCATAAAGAGACAATCAATGATGTTAGACTCAGTTTGAGTGCTTTGCCCTTTAAAAGGAATCTGAAGATGGGACTGCATCGATCTGTATAGTCATTCAATCTCTGTTGATAGCAATTGAAAAGGGAGGACAAATGGAGTTTTTTGGCCCCCAAAGGCCAGCAGATGTGAGAAACAGCTGCACTCAAAACAGGAACATCTTAAACACTATCTGAATGTGTAATAAAGACAGAGTTAAGGAGGCATTGAAGACAAAACTGTTATCAGTACTGGCGTTTATGCCTAGCAGAACAACATGTAGCGCTATCTCTTAAGACAGAAATATTTCAGCCAGGACTAGAAGGAAATGTGAGCATTCACCGCCAGTCTTCATTATAACTGGTTCAGTCCTACCTGAGAAGTTGCGAGTGGCGAGCATAGTGGTCAGGATTGCGCCCTAGGGAGAGAGAAAAAAAAACACTGAGAGGAACAAACTCCCATGTTGACACAGGCTGAAAGGTTAATGATTAGATATTCTGGCGCCTATGACTGGATCTGGCTAATTTTTGTTGTAAAGTAGACCAGTGTTTTAACAAATAAGACCAACTGTATTAACTTTCTTGTCAAAGCTGAATGCAGCAACTGAACAGCAGGTAGTCGCCCATCTTGTATAGTAACTCCAGCTGACGCTCACCTTGAGTTTCCTTCTAGCGTTGAATTTCTTCAGGCACTCCACAGTCTCCTGCCTGTGCATCATGGACGCCACAGTGGAGCGTTGCTGTAAACACAGACAGTGTGGCGTGTGTTAGAAGAATACCTGCCTTGATTGCATTGAGCGATACGTTTGGGACTGAAAAGGGCGGATGTGACGGTGTTTGTGAGAGTGTGACACGTACGCAGATCCAGGGGTGTTTGAGTGCATCTGTGGCGGTCACTCTCTTGCCTGGATTAATGGTCAGCATCTTGTTGATCAGGTCTTTGGCCTCTGGAGTCACTGTGTCCCACTCAGGAGAAGGGAACTGTGGAGGAAGAGGAATGACCGAAACCATTTAAAGTCCTACCATCTGCAATGCCAACATGCGTCTAATACCTGGATTCCACATACAACTGAGCAATATTAAGTTTTAAAATTGTTTTTATTGACTAAACTGCCATACACACATATTAAGTGGCCGAATATGACATTTCAGAACATTAAACAGCAAACTTAAATTACTCAGTCCAGCACAAGGCAGGGCATGCTGGGAAATGTGGGCAGTACAGCAGACGGTGGTGGAGTGTTCGCGGTAAGTTGCAAACTTGTTTGTGAAATACATTGCCAGAAGGTTCATTTTCAAAATAACTCCAATATAGCCATGCATATATACCTAACACTTCTGCTGACTATTTAGCTACATTTTAATTTTGCGTTGGGCCAAACAACGCCCCTTAATTGTGATATCATGAGATACATGGCCTGTTGTGAGCTGTTGCTTAGTTATCAATTATCAGCTGTTTGTCCCTGTTATCTTATTTTTCATTCCCTTTATTCCCGTGTAGCCCCCGTGTGTGTGTGTGTGTGTGTGTGTCAGCATAAAACTCACATCATAAGCACCAGCTTTAATCTGCTGGTAGAGTCTGTGCTGGTCCTCGTCCCAGAATGGAGGATATCCCACCAAGAGGATGTAGAGGATCACACCTACACACACAGAGTTAATCATGAAAGACCTCTCATTCCGTGATCCATAAATCAATTTCAAAGCTGACACTTATTATTATTATTATTAAGGCTCAAAGATGAAATCCATAACTTTGCACCAACAATCTATCTAATCTAAATACACACATATTTAAATAAAGAACAGTGTAGTAACTGACGTGCTTGGCCGGTTGCCAGTAGATGATGAAAGGCCTTCTATCTGACATTGAGACAGACTGACCACAAACACAACACGACTACTGTTTCTGTGGACTCAGAGGTGTGGAAAGCAGCAGGTGTGTGAGTGTGTGTGTGTGCTTTGGACAGTTTGTGTGTTTGACGTGTCAGGCTGCTGAGGTAAGGCTGCTTCAGGCTGATCAGTTAGCTCATCAGTCAAATTGGGCCAGAGCCTAGAATGTTTAAACTATTGAGGCCACGAGACCAAGTCCTCCCAACCCTCCAACACCACCAAAACCAAATTCAGTCCAATTTTTGTAATTGTTTCGATTTCTCAATAGTCTATTTATGTTATTTACTTCCTGTAAATCTTATTTCTACAGGTTATATGCAGGAATCTTAAGGTTAAATGTTTTACATTTTAAGACCTTTTTTGAGACCCTTTTCATACATTTTTGCCACAAACTGGAGTGGAATGAATTCAATAATAACCCAATTCAAGGTTTATTAGGCTGTATCTTTTCCACAGGCAGCCGCTTTGTCTAATGGTTATCATTCTTTGATGGTGTCAAATCTAGCGGGATTCATACATGAACTACAATCCAACTATGTGCCTAGGTTAGCATTAAGATCCTGCATACACCCTGTTCTAAATAAAGTTTTAAATATTGAGTCAAAGCTATTTAGTGTTTACTTCAGTCAAAGTGCACTCTGACCCTTCCTCGCTACCAGAGGACCCTGTTTACTGTAAACTGTGCTCAGCAGTGTCCTGTAGGAGCAAAACACACTACAGCACTTTCAAGGAGTACTTTAACATTCCCCTTTCTTTCCTAGAGTGAGACGAGCAGACGCTTCTCAATCTAATGTCTATTAAGTACAGACCTGATGGCAGAAGGTCATTAGCTTATCATTACTCATTTGATGAATCTGAATTTAAACAGTGATTTAAAAAAGTTCAATTTGTGTTTTTAGACTATTTCTTCTATTTAAGGTTTTTATTTTAAATAAAATTTGCCTCAGTATCAGCAGGTTTTCAGGATCAGGGGCAAACAAAAGGAGTACCAGTGCCTCTGCCCTTGTTGTGGGGTGTTCTTCTGGAGCAGTGGCAGTACCTTCGACAGCTGCTCTACGAGGCTTCCTCAAATTAAACAAATCAACAGTTAGTCGGGAATCTTACCACAGGCCCACATGTCCACCGGCTTGCCGTAGGGATCTTTCCTTAGCACCTCTGGGGACAGGTACCCTGGTGTCCCGGCAAAACCTGGAACATGTGCACATATGAACACCCCATACAGAACAACCCCTCTATCTTAATATAATAGGTATAGTATAATATAATACTAATTGGTTTAGCCCGACACCGAAAACACCACCTTCAATATGTGGAAGTCTATAAAAAGCTTGTTAGGACCTTCTCCTGAAAGCAAAACATTTCACAGTAGCTAAGGATCAGCGGTCCCATAAAGTTACGTTTAATAGTTTAACAGGCTCCAAGGAAAACATGGTATGTGGTTTGGCTCGTGACCAGCAACATGTAGCCTACTTTTAAAAAAATTAAATAAAAAGGCCCCTAAGTACCAGCAGACCCTTGGGCAATGAGACGTAGTAGTAGTATGAGTAGTAGTAAAGCCAGAACACCAAGTGAACTGGTTCCAGATGGAGATTGGAGCTGGGGAATAGACCAATTATATCTGGTTTCTACAGGGAACAGGGAGAAGAAATAGACATTCAGTCCAAACTTGATGTAAGAGCCGAGAGCAGTGGCACACCTAGTCCCTTTAGATTGATAGATAGGGCTTTGATGATAAAAGTTGTTCATTTGATTGTGCCGTTTGAAGAAATACAAAACTAGGACAAAAAAAAAATATCTGTTCTACTTTCTTCAATCAGCTCAGTAAGACCTGTCCTTGAGAAAATAAGTGCACAAATGTTGTTCTCAGAGAGATAATTAGACATTTAGAGATCTGAAATTGGATTTGTGCATCAGCAAAGGACAGGATACAGGGAAAAACGTACATGCAGTTCAGGTGTTCAGTATCTACATAGATACTATTCATGAACAAACACTGTCATTGTTCCCTAGAACACTGACACTTTTACAGGAGCCCTGAGAGGCAAACGAAAAAACATTCTGGTGATCCACTTTCCAAGTCTGGTCTAAATTGTTTTCTCTCTTGTGTTTATGACTTAAAAAACATGTGGAATAAAACGTTTTTCCTGGATACTCTACGTTCCTTAAAACATTTTTCATCAGTGAAACAGGTGGGAAGAAAGATTAGCCAGGTGAAAGGTTATTTTGTCAGGAGTGTTTGTTATAATGCTCATTTCGGGCCACAAGAGGCTGACGTGCACCACTACCCCACCTTCTAAATACAACTAAAATCATTCAAATGTTTTCTTGAAGCATAGATTAAAAGGCATTAGTAGTCAAAATACATGATAGTAATATTACATAACTTGCTAACACACAATATAGTGTACATGTACCTTGTTTTTAAAGCTCAAGGGGAAATTAAAACTCACCTGGAAGAAGATGGAATGGCACAGTGGATAAACACATGCCTCTGACATATATTGCAACTGTAAGTCACTTTGGATAAAAGCTAAATGAATAAAATGTAATGTAAATGGAAGAAAAAAATTAATGCTTTGGTCCTATTTAGAACATGGGGTAGTGGTGGTGCCTTTTGATGATCCTGAAACTTTTTTTATTTTTTTTATTTTAAACAGGTAGGTTTTTACAGATATTTGTGATCTGTTGAAAACCTTTGGACATACAGGAAAAACATCAATAAACTTTTTCTTTTTATAAAAACTGTACTGGAGCATGTACAGTATCACCAACATGCCAATCAAAGACACTTGTAAGTAGCCCAGCTAAGACATGTGATGATTATTCCATGTGTCTGTAAAAAAAAAAAACGCAGGTCAAAAGCAAGTGAAAATGAAAGAGTTGAATAAAAATGAAAATTAATAAGATTCACGAGAGAGATACTGAATAATGATATTTTTTTTCACACAAACTCCAAAAATCCAGCCTAAGTGTAAAGTCAATTAGAGCTGTTAAACACAACAAGCCAATAATTAAAGTGTACTCACCGAACCATGCCTGCTGGTCTCCCTGCACTTCAATGGCCAGGCCAAAATCTGCCAGTTTAACCGCTGCCCCTTTCAGTTTGCTGGCTAGGAGCAAATTCTCCGGCTTGGAGTGAAAAGAGACAGATAAAAACCTTCAGTAACTACCACTAATATAGTGGCATCATTTTAAAATGAAAATAAATAGGACTGAGGGAAAGCCTTTATCGGGAAAGGTTATTATAGTTCACAGAGTAATATCATTAAGGACTGATGTCATACAGTGAGTTTGAGCGTTCAGCAGCAGGACTAATAGCTGAGCTACAGGCCAAATGTAGCAGCTGCCCAGTCTAACAGATAAATGTCTAGTGGAGGAAGCCATGTCAGAGTCAAGTGACTCAACACACAGAGGCACGACTGACTCATGTTGAGCCTGATTACATTCAGGTTCAGTCAGGGGCCACGGCTGACCTCAGCCCAGCGGCACGGGGTGGATTTCATTCAACGAGAGGCTGGCGGCTTGCGGTCAAATTGGGCGGAAGAGCCTGACTGGTTAATTTGCTGACATTTTCAAAGCAGTTTCCTTGATAGTGCCAAATAGGGAATTGTTCATAATGACTAAGTTGTCATATAACAACGAAAAAGGGGAGCATGCTGTTGATCAAGAGACTTTTATTTTGCAATAATTATACCCAGTTACCCCGGCTATATCTTAGCAGTGGCCACACAAGCCATTATTCATTCTGAGCCTACATACAACCTACTACAATTTCAATCTCACATATATACACACTACAAGTTGGCTGAATCTTTGTCAATTATCAATCAATCAATTATCAATTATCCAGTGAGAACTAGACACCAAGATGGCCAGCCTATACAGGCATCTAGGGGTGTCTATTCAGACCAGGTAAACAGGATGCTTTAGGTGTGTGATTGTAAAATAAAAACTCACCAATACTAATACTAACTGTTCTGAGAAGCACCTGATTCAGCTGTGAAGTGCAGGGAGATGTGCGGAGAACCCCTTTTATCCCAATAGGTGTGGATATGGTGATATGATGGTAAGCCATGCATCATTTTGGCTCAACGAATAAGTAGCACTTAAATGTAATTTATCGGCTTTGACATTGCCGTCTTTAAAATTCCACCCTCCTAAAAGGAACCATATGTTCGGTAATAAAAAAAAAAAAATTCTAGTTTTGGATCTTTTCCTAAAATGACATGGCAGCCTGGACCTTTATTCTCGGGAGCTTACAGCTGAGACGCAAAGCACTAATAAAAAGGAAAAGAGAAGCTACAATAGTCTGTAGGGAGAACTTGGTGGTCACATTAAAATTGTACAAAAATGTAAAATACATTGGAGGCCTTGTATGAATGTTGTTAGTTTCTTCTGACCAGACAAAGAACCAGAGCTGGACACCTGTAGTCATCAGGGCAAAACCCCATACTGTTTTTAAGAATCCTTCCTAACACTGCTGCTGCTGCTTGCTGTAGAACTTGTGTTTCTAGTCATCCTTCATGCAAACATGATGGGCTTTCTCATCTAGTGAAAATAAATATATGTGAGAGGCACAGAATCAATTACGGTTTATATGGCTCTTCATTCACTCAAATCATTTGAAATCCATTACCGTCAGTCAATGTTCATATCTCAAAGCTGTTTGAGCGGTTAGTGGAGCATGTGTGAATTTCTGAGACGTGCAGCTCCTCAAACCTTTGCGCACAGCATAGGTTTGAGGAGGGGGAGGGAAGGAATGAAGGCAAAAAGGAAAAGAAGAGAGCGGGAGGAGTGGGGATAAATGCATCATGCAGTCATTGCAAACGCCCCCCCGACATCTGTTTACCCCATCCCACAAAATCCCCTTCTCACCCGTGGGAGAAAATCATGCAACCTTGAGGGTAGGAAAGTGTTGAATCAAGGAAAGGAAAATATGCTTTGAGTTTGATCATGTCATGTACTGTTAGGGCTGGGCAATAAAATAATAATGATAATTATTGTGATATCACTTTCCTCAATAAGAAATGTTCAATAAAAGTTTGATTTCATTCATTTGAATCACAAACGAGTTAGTACTTATTTTCTTCTATTAAGATACTTATTTTGTTGAGGAAAAGGGACTGAAAAAATTTGACCTAATTGGTTTGAATGCTCTGCCTCAGATTTGTGAAGTGATTCACGGTTTGTTCTGACCATAAAGAAAAGCTTAAAACCACAATGAACCATCGGGTTTCTTCAACTTTCCCTCAGGAGCAAAAATCACCCTTTAAACGTATGATATAAAGAAATAATGATTTGATATTTATCCTGATAATTATCAATATGGAATGATGTGGAATTTTTTATTGTGATACCATTTTTGGCCATATCACTCAGCCCTATGTACTGTATATGATAACCCTAATCTTGACCACAACCACTCAAAACCTAATAATATCCTCCCCACCCCAAACTAAGAGTATAACTACTGGTACTAGAGTTGTCCCTTAAAGTATTAAGAGCAAAAGACTACTCCCCATAAGCTGCATTTCTAGAAGACTTAATAAGTGCTTTATAATCTGCTTTATGATCACACAGATGGTACCATATGGATGAAGGGTGCTCAGCGTGCTTCAGCGCCTGGTGATAAGTCACATTCTGACATCCTTTATTTACTACCTAGTGTCGCGCTCAGGTCTGTAGATAGGGTTACAACAGCCCCACACATGCAAACACAGTCAAACGTACAGTGCGATGACTGCAAATAAATACCCGGAAAGTGTTTCACTGATGCAATGTGCAGGATGTGGCTAAGCTCGCTCGCAAGCCACGCTACTGAGGCATCATATCAGCATACTGCACTGTATATTCACCTCGAAAATGTTTGTTGGGCGCACACACACACACACACACACAGATACCTGACTGGGTTTCTACGTGTGTGTACAATGTACAGTTCATATCAGACTGATCAGGATTCATATCCCCTCCTTGCTACTGGTGTGTAATTGCTGTAATTGGATTCTGTCCAATACAGCGAGCCATAAATTAGATAGAATGAGTGGCCTGCTAAGCCAGGCTCGGGGTTCTGCTTCAGTCTGGAGGACCGCTACTGTAACTGACAAATACACACACTGCAATTGCTGCCAAAATGTTGCACATAAACAACTTTCCCTCAGGTTTTAAATTCTTTATCTCAAAGGGGACATTATCTGACAAGTTAATCAGCACTACTGCTGTACTGGGATTTTCTTTCAGACAGAATTGGAGAGAAAAGGGCAGTAAGAAAAGTACAATATGAATAAAAAGAAATGTCTCACAGTAAGGGGTTGGCCCGCCATGAGCCTCCAGAACAGTTTAAGAGCTCTTTGTAATAGTTTCTGAAGTCTCTACACTCTACTGGGGGGGATGAAACTTTCACTTGTTTGTGTCTCGCAGCTTCTTCATCAATAATGCATTACATATATTAATTTGGCAGGTGCTTTTTTCCCCCCAAAAAGGGACACACACAAGGTACAAACCTAGCCAAAGTGGATCAAGAAGAAGCCTTTGAGAGTGCTGCGATACTTTGGCTCCATGTTTCACCTGACTCCAGTTCCACGAGGCTACTGGTGCATTAGGCAACATATAAGTGCATAGCAAATGCAATTTCTTCTCTCTTTTCTGAGTGATGGAGACAGAAGGGTCGACAGAGAGAAAGAGCCTAGTGCTCTCTAAATGTCTGAAGACTGAGGAATCCTGCGGACCGGAACAGCGAGTACATGAAAAGTGGAGTGAATTGAGAGTTTTTTGGCTGGTTGAAGACCAGAAATGCTGCTGCATTTTTGACCATTCGAAGACGTTTTACTGTGCATGCCCTGCTACAAGGACATTTCAGTCGTCAAGGCGAGAGATGATCAGTGCCTGTGCAAGGAGGTGAATGGCATATTCTTTATGTTGTTATGTTATATAGTGCGATGCAACATGACAGATGCAACATGCTCACACATACTGATCACAAGGCGTTTAACTGGAAGTGTTACAGGGGTAGTTGGTAGGTATGTGGTTCTTTATGAAAAGCAGATATCGTAGCAGGAGGCCTGTGTGCAGCATTACTCTTGACGACAGCAAGCAATAAATCCATGTATCTAGAGACTTTAGTATAAAGCTCTACAAGAACTTTAAAATGACAGCTATGTATTGCTATTGTGTGTGTGTGTGTGTGTGTGTGTGTGTGTGTGTGTGTGTGTGTGTGTGTGTGTGTGTGTTTTATATTCCCTGCAATACCTAAAATCATTATTTAGAGAAATGAAACCACATGAATAACCACACAGTGTGGCAAACAGTGCTTTCCATAGTGCCTCAGCTCTGCAGCCTGCTTATTTGTTTTGGTCGCATTTGTTTTTGTCTTTGTGTTTCTGCAGTGAGCTGTGGCAGCTGCCTGGCAACAGCCAATCAGAGCTCGGAGAGAGGGTAGTCGGCGAATGCAAAATCCAAGCATATTATTGCTGAGTATAAACCAAACCTCAAACACACCTGCCTCATTTGATTGGCAAATCAGAGCTTTGGGAGCAAACCACAGAGATGGAAACAAGACTACTGTGGGCATAATGTTTACTGATGTCCAAACTCTAATAACATTTCACCATGATGACACATTTGACCTCACTTCAGTGCACTCAAATAGTCTACCTATGACCCTTGTATGTAGTTATATGACCCAGTTACAAGATGGTGTTTCAGTACATCTCTATCAAAACATACTCTAATACTCCAAAAGCACCCCAATACTGCTATAGGAAAGGACAATTAATATATTATTTACTGCAGAAAGAAATCCCAAGCCAATGGGTTCCCAGATTGGCTCTTGCTTAAGGAGTAGATTTTGCACTACCATCATGGATTTTCATTTTTATTTTGATGCCACCACTTGTGCTACTGATAAGCTGGGGTCTTCCATCAGTCCAGCACAGCCGCCTAGGCCTGCAGCTTCTGGTCCCTGTGAACAGGACCGGTACTCTACCTCCAGGGTAACCATCCTGAGGACCACTAGTCCGTTTTTAAAAGATCTTTGTTTTTATTTATTTATTTTTATCTGATGTTGTTTTCAGCAAAGCAATTTGTAACCTTATGAAGGAAATAAGTCAATAAATAAATAAAGTTTATTATAATTATATGTAGGTCAAAGACAGCAACATCATTCCTTTTGCTTTTCTGTGTTCACAGTTTCACATGAACGAGCACTCTGTGCTCCTATAGGTCAGCATCACAGAACACGTCGCAGAAGTTGGCAAAGTAAGCAAGCGAAGGCAGGAAAACATTCTGACATGCTAGTCTTGTCCCGGACTCTGCATTGGTTGTCTTCTACTATAATCCACTACACAGGATACACGAGCAACCCGGAGATTATTTTCGTTTGCGATGCCCCACATCTGTTGTGTTTGGACCGTCACTGAACTGACGATGTGCTGCACAGTGATCCGCACACTATTATTTGCTGCGCTTTGTGTTCCATCTAATATGAAATGGTTAACAATTTTAGTCAAATTTGTTTGCTGAATATTTTGTATTTGTGGAGATTCCCTAAAAAATATAACATGTTATAAACCTTATAACAATCTGTAAAATGTATGTGTCATAATTATAATTAACTTTTGCAGGATCAACGTTTTTGAGCATTTATGTATTTAACAGATTTCTTTTTTTATTTAGATAAATAGCAAATATCATTTACAGAAACTGAATGTAAATATTTTTCCTTTTCCATACAATTTTAAAACCCATTAATTTATTTATAAGTGACCTAACCGCTCTCCAGACTCCTGTGCCTGTACAATGCGCTGCGTTTATAGCTGCAGAGTAACTGGAGAACTGCCAGTCTTATTTTCAGGCCCATTAACACTTTTCTATGGTGGGGACAAGTAGAGTGCCTGCTCAGTGGAAGTGTGAAGTTCATATTTTCTCACAACATGACCCTAGAAGATGTAAACGTCTTCATGTGAAATGGGAAAGAAAGGTTGGAATATGACATTTAAACAAGAAGTGAGTTAAATCAGCATAGATGTGGAAAAGAAGAATCAAACGGGGGGGGGTGAAAAAATGGAGAAACAAATACTGAGGTCTTTGTGGTGAGTCTACTTACCTTGAGGTCGCGGTGGACCACACCCATCTGGTGGCAGTGGAGCACAGCTTCTAGGATCTGCTGAATGCAATGACTGCATGCAAACACCAGGGGGCCATGGGTTAGTGACAAGCTACCACTCACTGTCTGTGGCTGTGAGCTCGCTTTGACACTCGGGGAGCCGCTGGCCGTGTTACAGACTAGGCTGTCCAGCAATGTGGCAACTGACCCACCCAGCAGCCATAATGAGGGGTACTTTGGCAAAATGCACCATTTACTCAATGTTGAAAAGTTCATTTGTGTTGCCACGGTCACCAATTGATGTTTGCTTAGACAGACCCAGGAAAGACAAACATAGCTGTGATTTTGTCATCGTCCACCACTCACACAACACGGCCAATTCTCTGCCCGAGTCTCAAAACAGAAGTGGTGTTAGCTGCTGGCCAACTGGAGGCTAGACCCTAAGAGACTGAGGAGGAAGACGTAGGCGCTGATGGTTTGAATCGGTTACTGGTTCTCAGTGTTAAGCCAACAGTGTTGGAGAGTTTGCAGATTTTGTTCCTCCTCTCTTCTGTCAAATTAACATACTGGAAATTACGGAAGCTGAAGTTATTTTGATGCTAGTCAAGTCGTTAGTTTTGTGACTGGACTGAACAGTAAAACAAGAAGACAGTTGGAAGTTTCCCTCCAGAGCAGACAGAGCAACATCCTCTTCACAGTGGACTGCAGCTGTGATTTGATGAGTGAAAAACATGGAGGATCCCAATTTATTTTAAATGTTAGATAAAAAAGGTGGCAAGACCAGGTATTTTTTTTTATCCTGGTGATTGATTATGTTTACGAAATGAAGTTCACTGACGGGAGAGGTGCTTGAAGTTTTAACTACTTTCTACATTCTGATTTGAAATAAATCAGTGTTTTTATAATAACCTTTGTGCTGGTCTCAAACCCAAAACTGTGGCACGTGGACAACTTTAGTGTCATACATTTTTACAGATGGTATCTAAAGCCACAAAACATTCTTCCTCCTCTTTCTCTCTCAGGTGTCAGCCTTTCAGCGGCTATGCCCCCCCCCCCCAGCCTGCCCCCAGTACTACATGACCTACCTCCTCCTCTTCAGCCAACCTGCCCACAATGCCCTGCTACAAGTGGATTTTAAAATACTCCTGTCAGGTGGCGGTGTGTGAGGGTGACTGGTGGAGGAGGGGGTGTGGCTGTGGAGGAGGCGGCACTCTGTAGAAGGTTAATTGGTTGATTGATCAGGCAGTGGAGGAGCGAGGCAAGGTGCCGCAGGTGGGCGGGCCTGTATCTTTTTGCTGTTACTGTCGTCACTTACTAACCTTTAGGTCCCTGTGCACTATGCCATTTATGTGGCAGTGATTTACACTTTCTAGAATCTGCTGTATGCAGTGACTGTGGAGGAGAGAGAGACCGGGCCAGAAGCAAAAAGGAGAGGAAGAGGGAGAACAGGTAAATGTCAGGAAACACAGGAACAAGAACAGGCAGACAGAACACACCAAACACATTAATACTTGACAAAAGGAAAGTTTTAAAGGAATACGTCAACATACTGGGAAATACAATAATTTGCTTTGTTTTCAAGAGTGTATGGAAGCCCAGAGAGGCAAGAAAATGTTTCTGTGTGATCCAAGTCTGATCTAAATCGGTTTATCACCTGTGTTTTAGAAAGTATGAAAAAAATGTTTTGCCAGGATAATCTTTCTAAGTCCCTTAAATATTGGGGTGGAAAATAAAGGTTCTGGCACGAAATCATTTTCTTATTTGTTCAGAATGCTATTTTGCTATTTTAGTTTTGTCCACAAGAGGCTGAAGTCCACCACTACCTCATGTAACCCAACAGAACTAAAAGCACTAATGTTTTCTTCCAGGTGCGTTTTAATTTCTCAATGCGCTCAGTGAATCGAACTCTAATGGCGTTTAAACAAAACAAAAAATCCAGGAATTTAGAAAGACTATCCTGGCAAAAACTTTTTTTCACCTGTTCTGAAGTCATAAACACAGGATAGAAAGCGATTAGAAAATAGATCACCAGAATATTTTTCCCCCTCACTTGCCTCTCAGGGCTTCCATAAGAATGAGATGAGAAGATTGATCATCAATCTCATGTCTGTGCTTTAAGAACAGAGCTGTCCAAAGTTCCTAAATACACCTACCAACACCTCTAAAGCTGCATTATTAACACTATGTATCAAGTTTGTTTAATCTGAACACAAACAAAGTTAAAAATTATTAAAAAATAAATTATAAATTATCCATCTGTCCAGTATGGTGAAAACTGTACGTTTCCATGTGAAGAAATTAATAAATAAACTAATTATTTTGCTCTTACACCCAGCACCTCTGTGCTGCATCTCTGGCTACAATACAGGTTGCCAGATAATTGGTGAACAAGGTCTGGTCTCTGCGCAGGCAAGATCGTTATCATACCACACCTGACAACCTCACAGCGAGAAGACTCTCACTACACCCAGCTGCTGTTCGCCAAGAAAACTAAAAGTTCCAACACTCAGCGCTCCCTAGACATCATACATTTCTGTTTGTTCATTGGTTAAACAAACGCGAGAGCTTTAATGGGGTGGGTAAGTGTTTTTTCCTTAAGACTGTTTCCTCCTGCTCTCAGTCTTTATGCTACGCTAACCATGTCAGTACATGACATCAATCTTCACATCACTCTTAAAAAGAAAGCACATTGTTGAACTGTTCCTTTAGGTAATTTCACAAAGAGAGAAAAATACAAAGCACACATGCACGTTCTTTATATAGCTTTGTCGATGTCACCTTCAAAAAATATTTAAAAATCAATAAAATCCACCACAAGAAAACTGGAGTCAAATGAATGTCAAACTCGGAAACGTTGAAAATCTTCAAAATGATTAAAAACTAAATCCTAAGTGAACATTTAATGGACATGCTCTGGGATGAAGCCGCTTGTCTTTACAAACGCTGAGACAGGCTTCTTTTAGAGTGGATTTTTAACAGACAGGGCAGAAGGCAACATTGGGAAAAGTAGATCCAGAATCGTAGGACAGAGGTGGAACAAGAAATGTAGAAAGAGAGGCATAAAAGGCATATCAAAGGCAGCTCACCATGAAACACAGCTGCATTGCTGTATCCACGGCATAATGACCAGGGGTTGTATATTTGTGCGTGTATGTTGCGTACAATAAAATTGACGTACACAGTGATATATCGGTAGTATGCAATTTCATGATTTGCATGGAATCATTTTGATCACCGTTCTATCATGTGTATCTGCTTAAATATGCCTTTTCTGCATCACATTTATTCAACAAATTCAGAAATATCAATACAACCATGTGTTACACTGACCTGGCATCGGCTTCGCTGTAGTACTCCCTGGCAACAATGTCCTCAAACAGCTCACCACCGGTAACTCTGGGAGAGAAAGAAATGAAGGGACAAAAACTGAATGAGAAAAAAAAGCTGGAAAGAAAACATGTCTGGAAAAGAAGTGAATTGCAAAATCACAGATATTTATTACTGTGTCTCGAAGAAAAAAGGCTTGATCATGCTGCACAGTAAAAAATCCATCCAGAAGAGATTATCTTAAGACCAACTGGGTCAGAAGAATGGTATCCCCACAATATTAAACACTGCTCAAAAAAATAAAGGGAGCACTTAAACAACACAATGTAACTCCACTCCTGTGAAATCAAACTGTCCACTTACGAAGCAACACTGATTGAGAATAAATTTCACATGCTGTTGTGCAAATGGAAAAGACAACAGGTGGAAATTATAGGCAATTAGCACGACACCCCCAATAAAGGAGTGGTTCTGCAGGTGGTGACCACAGACCACTTCTCAGTTCCTATGCTTCCTGGCTGATGTTTTGGTCACTTTTGAATGCTGGCGGTGCTTTCACTCTAGTGGTAGCATGAGAAGGAGTCTACAACCCACACAAGTGGCTCAGGCAGTGCAGCTCATCCAGGATGGCACATCAATGCGAGCTGTGGCAAGAAGGTTTGCTGTGTCCGTCAGCGTAGCGTCCAGAGCATGGAGGCGCTACCAGGAGACAGGCCAGTACATCAGGAGATGTGGAGGAGGCCGTATGAGGGCAACAACCCAGCAGCAGGACCGCTACCTCCGCCTTTGTGCAAGGAGGAGCAGGAGGAGCACTGCCAGAGCCCTGCAAAATGACCTCCAGCAGGCCACAAATGTGCATGTGTCTGCTCAAACGGTCAGAAACAGACTCCCTGAGGGTGGTTTGAGGGCCCAACGTCCGGGCTGGGAGGAGATCCCTCAGGAGACCATCCGCCACCTCATCAGGAGCATGCCCAGGCATTGTAGGGAGGTCATACAGGCACGTGGAGGCCACACACACTACTGAGCCTCATTTTGACTTGTTTTAAGGACATTACATCAAAGTTGGATCGGCCTGTAGTGTGGTTTTCCACTTTGATTTTGAGTGTGACTCCAAATCCAGACCTCCATGGGTTGATAAATTTGATTTCCATTGATCATGTTTGTGTGATTTTGTTGTCAGCACATTCAACTATGTAAAGAAAGGAGTATTTAATGAGATTATTTCATTCATTCAGATCTAGGATGTGTTATTTTAGTGTTCCCTTTATTTCTTTGAGCAGTGTATTTCAGCAGTTATGGTCATATGGTATATGGACATTATTTATTCAGCTGAAAGAAGTTTCCATGTGCTTCCGTGAGGTTATGGCTAAAAGCCAGAGTGCTTCTCTAAGTGAGCAAGGCTCCTATGATTTTCTCGAAAACGGTTCATCTGATCAACTGCAGTGTCAAATTTGGTGCAATTTGGCCAGATGGTGACGCTAAAACATCAAACTAAGCTTTGGACTGTAACCTCTGAACTATAAATCTCAGAAACATGTTGGAACCATGTTGACTCTACAGATGAATTGTAATTGAGCCATTGGAAGTGTGCACTCAGCCCATGGTCCCAGCTTTCAGCTACAATTGGTTAGTGTGACCTATGACTAGGGCTGGAAGATTTGGCCCAAAATAATAGTCACGATTAACTGAACATTTGACCTTGATTACGATTAATAGTCAAGGTTTTTACTGTAAATATGTTCAACCATTAAAGCTGGGTTTAATTTTTTTAATTAACAGATGTAAAAAAATTGATTATCTAAATATTAATTGATAAGATAATGTTGACGTGCACAAACCTGAGGCATGGTTCCCCTATATTCGGTGTATCGCCGCTGCTTAATTATGACCGCTGCTACTACAATTTCACACAATTAATATCAGTGAAGGTAGTTAGCACTAGCTAGCATCTCCCGGAGCTGACTGGAAGGTGAGCAGGACTGGAGGGGGCGGAGTCACGTGAATACACAGGCAGAAGTATGTTTTTAAGGGGAAACATTAACAGGATTAAATAACCAAAATAACCGCCATGGGAAAATTACGTCCATTAGAGGCTCTGAATTTCATTACTTTTAGTTACTTTTCAATTTATTATCCAGCCCTACATATGACCCATCGACTGATCGACAAAACCCCCAAATGTCAGGTGTGATGATGAACTTCTGAGACTTAACGTTACATTGTTTTAATAAGTCATGAGTCCAGCCTGTACAGACTAGTACTGCAAACAGTGTAGTACCAAACCAAATCTGCCGAGGCCTTCTTAGGAAGAAACCTATAGACACTAAGGGGAAAAACAGAAAAAAGTAGACCTATCAGGTCACATTTAACTGCCCTAAATCTGAACAGCCAATCTGCTGCTGTTTTGACTGCAATGCATTACCTATGTCACGTTCATATCTAATGGTCTCATGTTTTGCACTCCAATCTGTGGAGACAGTGGCTTCTGTAAACACAGCAGCTTCCTAGAAAAGTTATCTGCTAGCCTGGACTACAGTGTCTCCCTCATCAGTCCAGCTGCTGTCACCCTGACAAGGAGAGAGACAGCGGCAGAGAGCTCAGGGTGAGAGGTTCAGGCAGCTTCTACTTCTGTGCTCTGATAGTGACCCCGAGCGTGACCTGTACCTGAGCCGTATCTTACCTATTACCTTATCTCACAAGCGCCGACGGCACAAAGTCTGCCAGCTACCATGCTAATAAAATCAACTAAGACACAAACTCGCACAGACAGTCGTTGCATGCTAACTTACTTCCTTTCACTTGGCACCACACACACACACACACACACACACACACCCTCTAATTTAGTCAGGTTTCATCTTGTGTGTTTATCTGTTAAATAAATACTTGTGGATATAACAACTTCTTTTATGTAAAATACCAAATTCTTCAACTTACTAGCTATTGATGGTCATTTTGGTTATAGCTATTAAATTATTCCTTAAAGAGTTCCAAATTAAAAGTTCAGTATATTCTATGAGACTAAATTAGATATTTGGCTATAAAAGTTAAATTCTATTAAAATGTAAATAGTAATAATAATTATTATATAGGGTTAAAATAACTGATGCCATTTAATCCCCAACACAAACCACTTGTTTTCCTGGATTCTGTGGGTCGAGGCGAATCTATCCAGGTATCACTGCCTATTTGCATCTAGATTGATTAGAATGAGAACAGGCACACGTGCTTAACGGCGACACCCTGCTCTGAATGGTCATCCCTTCCAAACTCCCACGCTCCGCTTCTGACTTTTAATCTTTTAATAGAAATCTGTAGTTTTCAAGCCCAGACAACCCTGACGATATCATCAGGGTCAGACTTGCCGAAGCTCCATCAGAGCCAAGGAAGACATGAGACAAAAGGTCTTCACAGGCTGAGTAATACTATCCTTGTAAAGCAAACTGGCCTTCACATGTGACATCAATGGAGCTGCCTTTTAAAATGTTTAAAAATAGGCCAGCAGGTTTGCTGAAAACACAGAATGACTTGAAACATATTTTAAGGCAAAACCTTTTCCATGACCTGCGGAAAACATTACCACTTGAGTCTTCAGGGGTTTCCATATTAAAGGTTCATGCAACTTTTAATGACTTTGGTAGCTGTAAAAAGGTCTGCAGAGTCTCAGCGTTACTGTTGGCCTTCATTCAGCAACTAGGAAGTGACCCGTTATGTCGCCATGCTTTCACTCTGCTCAACAAATGTAAGGTTAATATCAAAATTTTAAACCTGTAAAACCCGTGGAAATATTATATTTTAGTTCACTACTCAGTTCATGGTCAATTTGCATCGACTGCAGTGTTATTATGTCTTGTCATCCGGCCAGGAAGGTTTTCCATTTTGAAAAACAAAGGGAGGAAAGTTTTTACTCTGTGTGTTGTCTTTTGGCCAGGAAAGGAACAGCCTCTGCTCTTTTTTTATTGCCCTTGGCAAATTAAACGCAGCATTTAAAATAAATTCAAGCAATTTCCTTTCTGGCTTCCAGATTAGACTGTAAACAACAGCTGACAATACACAGGAGACAGGAGGAATGAAGAAGCTGTTGAGTTACAGCGGACACACACAGGCGGCGTGTGCCGCGGATTGGATCCGTCCTCAGCCCTGCGTTAACTCACACTGGAAGCGTCTCAGAAGCGTTTCAGCAGCGGAGCGTTTAGCCTGCCCCATGTTGTTGACTTGTTGTTTATTTGTCTTTTTGTATGCTTCTGCTACCAATCTCAGCTGATGATCCATTTTTTCCCGTGCCCTGCAGGGCTGCACATTCCAGAGAGCATTTCAGAATAAGAGCGTTTTGCCTGCCTGATTTTGCTGAATTGTTTAGACTTCATTAATTTGGGGGCTCTCTGTGCCGTTTCTGCTATTGACTTCCTTCCCGGGTCATCTGCTCTGTGCTGCTTGACGTGTCTTCCGTCAAAAATAGACCTGCCGCTTATCCTCCGTGCAGCGGAGCAGAGAGCCGCTTCTGGGACGCGCTGCGGCGCTTCTGGTGTGAGCACAAGCACTGACTGAGAATGGCAGCAATTAAAACCGGCAGCAGCGAGACAGGTGTAACGTGGTGCACACGCCGCCTGTGTGAGCCCGGAGTTATTAGGGAGTTAAATTAAATGAAGTGATAGAAAGGAAAGAATAGTGATTGCTTTATGAACACCACATAAAAAACACATTTGTAATAAGGATGACAACTGAATACAGAAGAAGTGGGTAATGAACTTAAGTTTTGTTTTATTTGCTGAAATTGTCTTAAACTTTACTTGGACAGGCCGCCCAGGTATATTTGGCAACCCATTTTAGCATTTTGAAGAAAAACATGGAAAGAATTGTTATCCATATGTCACTACAAAGACTAAGGAGCTGGTTGTGGATCTAAGGAGAGCCGAGGCACCAGTGACCCCGGTTTCCATCCAGGGGGTCCCTGTGGACATTGTGGAGGATTACAAATACCTGGGAGTGCACATGGACAATAAACTGGACTGGGCCAAGAACACTGAGGCCCTCTACAGGAAGGGCCAAAGCCGTCTCTATTTTCTGAGGAGGCTGAGGTCCTTCAACATCTGCAGGACGATGTTGAGGATGTTTTATGAGTCTGTGGTGGCCAGTGCTATCCTGTTTGCTGTTGCATGCTGGGGCAGCAGGTTGAGGGTAGCGGACGCTAACAGGCTCAACAAACTGATCCGCAAGGCCAGTGACGTTGCAGGGGTGGAGCTGGACTCTGTCGATGGTGTGAGAGAGGAGGATGCTGTCCAAGCTACATCTCATCTTGGACAATATCTCCCACCCACTCCATTACTTGCTGCTCAAACACAGGACTCATCCCCCCAAAATGCACCACAGAGCGCCACAGGAAGTCATTCCTGCCTGTGGCCATCAAACATTATAACTCCTCCATCTAAGTGTCTGAAAATCAGTTATTAAACTAGACCGCTATCTATTTTCTGTGCAATATTACCTGTTTAATAATTAATGTGCAATATTCTCTGCTGCTATTTATTCACTTGTCCTTTTTGGTTCACCATAATAATTAATAATGTAAATATTGTACATACCCACAGTCCTTTATATTTGTGTTAATATTTTATATTTATATACTCTTTATCTATCTACCTTGACAAGTGTGCAATTGTGACAAAAGAATTTCTGTTTCTGACTACATGACCGTTTAAAACGGGTCAGATGCTCTGTGTAATTAAACTACATTTTAAGCACCGTAAGTAAGTAAACTTTATTTATTTAGCACATTTCACAGACAAGAGGGGTCACAAAGTGCTTCAAGGTAAAAAATAGAACATAAGACAAATAACAACAACACATAAAATACAAAGCCATAAGCTAGTTAAATGTGTCTTAAGGTGTTTTCTAAAGGTTTCCACAGAGTCCAAGGCTCCAAACCAAACAGAAAGTGTTTTAAAACGTGTTCTGGGAATAGTTAAAAGGTCTTGGCCTGAAGACCTCCGAGAGCGTGCAATAGATCCAGGATGTAAGAGGGAGCTTGACCATGCAAGGCTCTGTAAGTAATGGTTAAAATTTTAAAATGCACTCTCAAACCAATTGGAAGCCAATGAAGAGCCTTAAGCACAGGAGTAATGGGTGATCTCCTGTTGTACAACTTGCAGTTTGTCCATGAAGGATTTGTTTAAACAAGTGTACAGTACATTGCAGTAATCCAGACAAGAAATAAAAGCATGAACAAGCATCTCCATCTCTTCTTTAGAAATGCCGTCTTCACGATTAACTAATCGCGTTCTTTCAGATTCAATTGCGGAGCACCTGCTGCTGTAAAAATTAATCTCGGTGAAAATATCCAGAAGAGAAATCGATGTCTTTTCTTTGACTTTGTAAAATGTACTTTTCTCCGAGAAAGTAAGCAAAGCAGACACATACAGGGAGAGAGAAAAAGGAAGAGACGGGGAAAGCCGGTGTGTTTGCAGCAGAGGTGTAGTTGTGTGCGTGTGTGGAAAAGAGAAGGGAAAGGAAGCAGATTCAAGTAGCCTAGGCTAGTGAGTAAACGGTAAAATAAGGTGGAGAAGTAGAATTAAAATGTTGAAATAAGAAATAACCTGAACTGTTGGGCGAAGTAAATTTCATGTTCATATACATCTGAAAATTCCATCCGATTTAAGAACACCAAGTACAAGAAATCAGACTAAAATGATTACATTCCTGTAAAAGCCATTTGTCAATATAGCGGTCATGAGCTGCAAAATATTATATATCAATAAAAACATTCATTCCTGAATTTGGGGGGGGATACTTTTTTTTTTTTTTATTAATCAAAAATGAGCACGGGGTGCGAGCTACGAAGCAGATGTGTTTGACGTAGCACACAAAAACTATGATTTACTTTCAGTTGGACTATAATGTCAGCTTTATTAAGGTGTTCCCCTGCATCCATATCTGCATACATGTCACAGTATGAAAAGCACAGGTGTAAATAATAAAAACGATAAAATAAAAATACTGATGCCATCGGATGCGGTCGTGTATCATGTGCTCAAGTATCTACAGTACGTGATGTTTCTGTGCAGCATGTGAACATGGTGAGGGCGTGTGATGACTGAGCACACAGACAGATGGAGCAAAGAGGGAGGCGAACATGCCACGTCTGATCTCCCATTAGTGACAGGACATCTGATTGGCAGCGGTCAGTTTTCTACTCCTTCTGAGCATGACATGAATGTGTATTCCTCTGTGTTCGAGCATGTTCTTTTCCTTTATGCATGCATAGACATGCGGCAAAAGGCCCCGGGCCTGTGTTTAACCATGTCTAGTGTCCTGTTAGTGTCTGAGGTGTAGAACTGAAATGCAAAATAAAAATCCTGCACTTACAAGTCAAAGACCAGATAGTGGAATCCTTCCTCTGATATGCTGTCATGGAGCCGCACTGTGAGGGAGGGAAAAGGAAGGGGAGGAGACAGAAAAGAGAAAGTTAGTCACACACACAGTTACACAGTTACACATTGGCAGCAGCAGGTAACTGTGGGAATTATGAATACTTCTAACACAAACTGAGCACTGAACACTAGTGACCTGTGCTGCTCTCAGTGTGAAGTGCAATTAAGGGTTTCAGACACCACTGGTGAATTTAGCTTTCTCTGGATAAAGAGCTCGTTGCCGTTTCACACATTGTTTTTGCAGATTTGTAGATTAATGGCAAAATTCAGCATTTTGGTAATATGTTTGCTTTCTTTCTGAGCGAGATCAATGAAAAAAAATCAATCTCATGTTTGTATATTTGGTACAGAGTTGGTTTACGGCTGTGCATAAAGAGGCTCAGTCCAAAGTAAAAACACAAAACAACTTCCAACACTAAATAAAGCACACTGTATCTCTGCTACATACATGCTCTTCCTTGGCTATTTCTTTGTTGTTGTTTAAAGCTACTTCTTGGAAGAAGGTTTGCAATGCAATTTAAGTCGTTCCATACATTGACACTGAAGCTGCTCAGTGCATCCACAAAGCAAAAAGATACAGACAAGCTGCTTGCCTGTGCTTTCAGATTTTATGCTAAGCTAGGCTAATCACATCCCGACTCTAGCTGTGTACTTAATGCATAGACATGAGATCTTTTCATCGAATAAATGTATTTCCCAAGGTCACACTACTTTCACTTCTCTTTCAGAAATAAAGTTCAGTTCCCAGAACCTTCAGTTATTCCTCTAAGTGACTGTTCTTGTAAAAAGTACAGTATCAGCACATATAGAGGCTTAAACTGCACATTGTAAAATGACAAGGTTTTCTGAATGTTCTTGAACAGATGTGGCACTATTTCACTTTTTGTTCTTTCAACGTTATCACAGAGAGAAGCTTTAAAATAGACCATTTATTTACTGTCAGAGACAACTGTACAGCAGCCACAGAACAAGCATAGAGTCATGCACTGCATCAATAAAAGCTCTAGTGTCTAGTCCCTTTTTATGAATACAAAGGTTTTCTGAGGCCAATCTGCCTGGGAGTGCACACTGATAATAAACTGGACTCCGAGAGCAGTCGCTTTTTCTCAGCAGGCGGAGGTCCTTCAACATCCGCCAGACAATGCTGAGCATGTTCCACGAGTCTGTGGTGGCCAGTGCTATCCTGTTTACGAGGAAAACACAGCTGTAAGATTTTCTCACCGCTATTCTGTCTTTACATTCGGAGTAATGTTGAAACGTTTTCTCTTAAATCAAGAGACAGCTGGTGTGCATGGGTCGCAGGTGTGTCGCGTTTGAACATTACGTTGCGTTGCAATGGCGACCAGCTACACTGAGGGGGTACTATCTGCAATGGAAAACAGAGGATGGCGGGCGAAAAGCGAGTCGAGGCAAGTTGAGCTGGTACCAGCAATGGAAGAGGGCTTTAGTCATTAAACTGGACCTTGTAGTGCAATATTCAGTTTCAATACTCTGGCTTACTCTTTCCATATATTGTAGTTTAAGAATTTTAATCCATTTCACCTCAACACTACCTCATCATAATCATTATTACTACCTACCTAATGAGCTTATACCTTTTTATTTATTTATACAAATGCCAGTATTTTTAGACTGAAGTTGCCAAGAAACGTCCAGATTTCCCACTTTGAAAGTAAAGAAAAAACAGGTATTTGTTGGTTTTCTGGGTAAGGGTTACTACTTTGTCAAGCATTTGGCATGATACGCTCCTAAATGTTGGCACAGTAAGCCAATGTTTCAAATACGATGACTGGTTACGGTCTGCCAGTCAAACTGTACTTTCTGCATCCATCTACACGTTCTCAGACCTGATTTATACAGAATACTGATACAAAAATAAGCTATTAATACTCACTTTTATTCTCTCTAAGAGGTTGCAGATCCAGATATGGACACACATACTGTATGGATGTGGATGAGCTGAGAGTCATACATGCTTCAGCTACATATTTTTAATGGACATGGCCTTAGAGCCCATATTTGTAGTTTCTTCTTTAATTTACATTATAGAAAAATATTTTGAATTTATTTATTAATCTGAATGACAACAAGCACATTTTAACATTTTAAAATGTGCTTGTTGTTGGCTATACCCAACTCTTGAGGCTATGGCTAAGTTCTGCTCTCGTCAAAACCACCAGACTTCATTGACAAAACCAGCAAAACACAGGAGTTGCTGGTCTACTGCTTCCGTGCTCGGTTAGTTTGCTTTGTGCGACTTCGGTGTTTTACATTTACATTTATCTGACACTTTTATCCAAAGCAACTTACAATTGCTATACATATCAGAGGTCGCACACCTCTGGAGCAAGTGTCTTGCTCAATTGTCACAATAGTGGATGTCACAGTGGGGAACTGAACCCAGGTCTCTCACACCAAAGGCATGTGTCTTATCTATTGCGCCATCACCACCTGTGGTCAAAAGGGTTAAAACTGCCAAACTCACATAAAAATAAATAAATAAAAACCAATCAAGGTAGCAGTAGACCAGAGAGGTAAAATTACTGATTTTGTCAATGGAGTCTGGTGGTATAGCAACTGTTTCTGGTTAAACAAAAAGGATCTCACTCTTTTTAAAAAAAAGGTCCATCTCTAGAGGGGTCTCCACACACAGTGAACTCACCATGTTTCAAGCCATGTTTACCATCTGCAAACTCACTACCGTGGCCCCTGCACAGGTGCTCTGAATGAGTTTGAATGTCAGAAAGCAGGGCCGTCTCATTCTCTTTGAACGAGAATAGAACACAGAGGTAAGAACGCCGCCAACAGGGAGGCTTCAATGAGCTAATTAGCTACACTTGCTAATGACATGAAATGACATGGTGTGAAGTGACAAAGAGGACGAAGCTGAGACTAAGCATGATGCCTCTGACAAGGACTGGAGTACCTACTATAGCATAAGCTGAGGGGTTAAAGAGGGTCTCTTGCATGATTGCCTGTTCCAACCTCCAGACAGCGTTGGAACATGCTCATTTCACTCTTTCAGTCAGGCAGCTTTGATTGGTAGCTAGCACAAGGCAACACACTTACGGAAATGTATACTCAACTTATTAGTGATAGTCCTGTAAACTACAACCTAAAAGCAAGCATATGTCCTTAACCTCTTACCATTCCTGTAAAATTAGCCTGAAAAGCCTGTTGTGTAGCCTTTGTGTGTAGCTGTGTGTGCTTTGTGTGTGTATTTCCACTGACTGAAACAGACTCCATAGGTAATTCAACAGACAGTGAGGGACTGACTGCACTTTGCGGCTATGAATATGAAGTAGGATGCTTCGGGGAAAAGCTCATTCCAATTTTAGTGATCAAGAAAGGTTAAAGACAAACAGGCACCAACATGAAATGACAGATGAAAAGATTTTTTTTTTATTTAAAAATAGATCCCCCCGGGGGGATTTTCTGACATCTCCGTTAACTCGTCTCCAGATTGACATCCAAGGAATTAGGGCTTTCCCAGAGCTGCATGTTATGTGAATGGAATAGTAATGAGTAGCGCTACCTGCTACCAGCCAGCCAATTCTGACGGGGGACAGATGGGAGGAAGGAGGGGGGAGTGTGTGCACGTGTGAGCAGGTGAGTAATAATCTCCAGTGACGGATTCACAGCTGGAATCGATCAGTGTTCACGCGCTGTATTATTTATGTGAGGGTCTTTTGCACTATTGTTTTATAACTATGTCGTCATGTTTTAAAAGGAAAACTACAGTTCAGTCAGAAACACTGACTGCTCTGCAGGAAGATATGTTTGGCGGTACGGCTCTGTTCTGAGACCTCCCTGCCATTCCACGTGCCTACATGGGAAGCCTAACTAAGCATGGCAGGCCTGTCAAGCTCTGGTTTCTACACATGTTGAAGCGCTGTGAGTGGTGCCGCAGTAACAGCAATGCTGTATATAAAGACTTGGTGTCTTTATACAGACACTGGTGTGTTTTCTTTGGCATTTACAGAAGCAGATATGCAAGAGCAAAAGAGCAAAGCTACAAACATGAGCATGTCAAGCTAATTAGCTTGATACCTACAAAAGTAATCCAACGTAACCCTGCACATATTTTAGACTTATTATGGGGTAGTGGGGGAGTGCCACTTCATGAAGCTGACCGCAGGGTTTATCAGCGCTAGGTAGCTAGCTCATGAAGCTGCCAGTCCCAGTTGTCTTTTCAAAAGACAAAATGGACGGTTTACAGCTTGTGACAATGGGTTCATCATTTCAGACAAAAACACCGTTCCAACAATTACAAACTATTTTAATGCTAATACTGCCTCGTTGTAATCTGTAAAATTCCACATGAGGGTGGAAATCTCAGCAGTTGTAGTAACGGTGAATAATGGGGAATGGGCTAAGCAAACGGTCAGCTGTTAAAAAATAGCCCAACACGAGCAATCAGTTGTAACAAATAAATTCAAATTTTCTAATAAAGATGAGCATTTCTTAGAAAAACTTTCTTCAGCTCTGCGATGGACAGTTATTTTCTTTAACTCAATTAAAGCTCAACATTGTTTGGTTTTGTGTTTTATAGTCATTTTTAATAACTTGCATTTCAATGACCTTACTGTTCAAAATTTACAAAACAAAAACAAATATTAATGCAATCTCTCACAATAAAGTTTATTGTTAAAATATCTTAAACATAACTAACGCAAAATTTTTAGATCATCTTTTAGGATTTTTATTACTTTTAAATATCAGCATCATCTTCAAAGTCCTGTCTGTCGGGCCCTAAATGGTTCTCTCCTTATCTACCTGCCAGAAAAAGAGTTTCTGCTGTTATCCAACCACCTAATTCAAGCTGCCACTGACAAAAATGAAATTATCACGTTGCTCTGAAGTAAAGCTTTGGTTTGGTTCTGTTAACAGACATGGCAACCCAAACCTCTGTAAAATAACCCTCTCGACTAAACCTAAATTCTAATTCCAGGACAAACCAGCAAACCAAACAAATCTCCCTATTCGTTAGTCACTCACACCCCCTCATCCCAAACTAAAAGAAAAGGCACCAATCAAGTAAATGCCAGTTTTCACTGCGTGGCAAAGTCGTTACTGAGGTGATAATTACAGTTCCTTGGCCTTTGTGGCTTCTGAAGCAAGGAGGGGAGGGAGGGGGAGGTGTGTGTGTGGGTTAGGGGAAGAGAGCCATGTGTGTAGATGAGCTCTATTTGTAGACATAGTCATTACACAAGCCAGAGCATAGGGTCATTTATCTACACCTACCACAACAATATGGATTTCTACGCTGTGCTTCCTTGTATTAAATCAGGTCGTGGGGACATAAAGCTGTTCATGCACTCACACTGTAGAGCCTCAGCTCCCATTCAGAGCTGGAAGTAAAAAGGTGCTTGATTCTTCTTCTTGTGTTTGCTTGGTATTTATCTGTAAAACATCTAACAATTACAACTTTTATTTCCTCTGTTAAAGCTTTTCCTTATGGACTTTCTCCTCATCTGATTTGAGGGCCTAAAGCTGCCTGTAGAGTTACTTGTCAGATGGTCAAATAACCTTTTCTGTAACATTCTGAAACAGAGCTACATTTCTTTCACGCAGATCTAAAGTCAGCTAGAAGGTAGGAATGAATTAAGTTCATGAGTTTTTCCTGTCTGCTTCAAAGGCATAAGCAGTGAATGGGTGATATGTTGTCTGTCATATGTACAGATTGCAAAGCCCTTTTCAGGCAAATGTGACATTTCTGATTGTGGAATCTAAAATATAAACTAGGGCTGTGATAAAATCTTATCAAAATGTCACATCATTCAATAATTATTCTTCAATCATTATCAGGATAAATTTCAAATCGTTATTTATTTCTAGTTTAAAGGCGGATTTTTGCTCCTGAGTGAAAGTTGAAGAAACCAGATGGTTAATTATTTGGTTAAACTTTTCTTTATAGTCAGAATGTGACAAACACTTGATGCCAAACAGTGAATCACTTCACAAATCTGAGGCAGAACATTCAAAACTATAATAATAAAATGTTTTTTCAACCAATGTGCAATAGAAAAGCACTAATTTGTTTGAGATTCAAATGAATTAAATCAAACATTTATTGAACATTTGTTATTGATTGTGATAATTCTCATTAGTGTTTCATTGCCCTAATAGAAACACGACTTCACAAGGTCCTCCAAAGTGACAAAACAACTGTGTGTCTGTATGTGTGAGTATTTCTAAATATGGTTAATGGTCATATGGCCATCGCGTACAAGAGGGAACAGCTACGGATGCAGGAATATATACTCTGGCTTTCTTGAACATATAGTATGCTGTTGAAACCACTTGGGAGGAAAATGTGAATCCAGGATACGTTTTTAATGCATGTTCCATACAGCTCTGAAACCATCTTCAGGCTAGCCTGTATGTTTTGAAACACTATGGATAAAGACACGGGGCCCAAGCTAAAAGGAAGAAGCTGAATAAATCACATGCAGAAGGTTGGTGCAGCAGCGCTCACTGAATGGTTTGGAGAGAATGACGTGAGGCCTTTACAGAGACCAGATCTCAACCCAGCTGCACACCTGTGAAGGATTTTAGAGCAACGTGTAAGACAATGCTCTCCACCACCATCTCCATAACAACAAATGACAGAATCTAAAGTCTCATCTTCAGATCAATGCTGTGATGTCTGTGACTGTCTCTGACCTTAAATAAAAGCGGTTTACATAAATGAGGGAATATCTGGTAGAGAAATGGTGATTATCTCTCCAACAGAGTTCCACAGACTTGAGCCCGAAGCTGTTCTGGAGGCTGATGGTGGCCTTGCTCCATACTGAGACACTTCATGTTGCTTTTTCCAGTCATTTGTCACCATCTGTACATTAAACATGGCTCTGCTTGTAACATTATGAGACAGAGGACAGAAAGAGATACAGTAAATCTAACGGGGAGTACTAGTTACCGATGTTGGCATGCTTGAGCAGGCGGCAGATCCTGGCCTCCCGCTCCAACTTCTGGTGATCTGTGGAGACAAAAAGACAACATATTTGTCACATCTGTCTGCTGAGCCCTCCCTCCCTCCTTCAGACTTCTCTATAGAGACCTCACATATTAAACACCGCCTCCCTCCTCCTCCACTGTGTCCCTCCTGCTGGGAAAATGTAAGCAGTAAAACTAACAGTCATAAATCATTAATGCATGAGGAGATGAATTTGAGGAAAACCTTGGAACGTCGCCCGAATTTCTGGTAATCCAGCACGTGTTCACTGGTCAAATCCATATGATGAGGTGGCAAAATGAGCAACTTCACTTCTATAAACTGAGAAGTGTTTATGCTCTTATACTATCCTGAAAGAACCAGATATAAAAGAGAGAAAGTGTAACAATGAAAGCCACGTCAGTGAAAGTAGCACAGAATACTGCAAATTAACATATTGCTCTTGTATTTAGCACCGCTGAATTAAAAGCTACAAGACCTGTAACATGACATGAGCCTGAGATGACATCACTGCTCCCTTTAGCTGCCTTCCGCTTGAATTAATATTATACTGGTCCTTCACAGCCCACAGGAGCTCTGGTGCATTGCATTACAACTGAAGTAGTCAATTTCCCAGTAGTCAACACTTATGAATAAATTATAGCAATAAACTTAGGCATAGGTTCACTAGTTTCACAAAACAATCCAGACTCAAGGTCCACTTGCTAGCTATATACAGAACTTTCAACCATATCACACGGTTTTCATCAGCAGAGTTGGGATTGCTGAGTCAAACTACTATTTCCATGGTCAACACCAACATGGACAATAAGTCCTAATGGTGCTACAGATGAAATCCCCAGCTTGTTTGCTAGAATGTCACAAATCCTTCTCCATGACAAGAGAGCAAACTCCATCCACTGATGAAGACCGTACGGATGCATTTGTGTGGACCTTGGGTTGGGACTGTAGAGACATAGAACCAATAACTTTGACAAAGGCACGACACAAATACATGGTTCACTCCAAGGTGTTAAAAATGAAGAGCAATCTTTTCCTTTGAAAGATAAATCTTATACCAAAACTTACAAAGTAAAGAAAAACAGAACTGAGTCAAACACAGCCAAGTGTGGGATAAATAATACAATAATAACAACTCGACTACCTTTATCTGTCATGCATCACATAAAAATATGAACAAAACTGCTCGATTACAATAATTCGATTCACTTTCTGTCCACTAATCAATTAAAAATCGACCAATCGTTGCAGCTCTGGTTGTGTTGAAGCCTTTGTCAGCGTCTCTATGTGAAAGCAGCCGCTGAAGGCAGAGAGTGAACATCTCTCTCATCAGCTACTTGATATTCATATTTAGGCCTTGATGTTGCTAAATCCAGATCCTGTATTTGACTGACTGTGAATAGGCCTCGTTATTACCAAACTGAGAGGATGTGAAGTACCGAAATGTTAACATCCACTTGCCAATTTGCTCTTCAGAGAAGTACACTCACACACTGGCGAGTTTCCAACACAGGTCCCATCTTCTGCCAACACCAAATCACAGTTTCCCCCTGCTGTAGAGAATAGTTTCTCATCTATGTGCATCGTGGCCGTTGTTGATATCAAAGAGTAACAGTATTAGATTTTTTCTAAGTTAGTAGCTCAGAATTAATGTGGGTGCTCTCAAGACAACCCGGTTTCAGTCGCAGGTCGTCACACATGGTCAGGCACCAATGGTGTCACTGAGAACCCCTTTAGCGTCATTTTACAATGCTACAAGTATTATATGTCAGGTCAATGTCAGGTGACGTAGTATAAAGATCGACAAAGTACACACAAGGAGGAGGGGCGGGTCAAACAAACACTGGACTTTCACCTAGGAGACCAGTGTTCTTTTCCTGTGTGAAACCAATAGTCACTATTGACTTCTTTTAGACTTAAGTTATACAACATATGTAATTTACGTAATTAACTTTAGTTAAGTAAATGAAGTTACATAACTTAAGTACATATTTTAACACAAACAATGGTTTTTCTTAACTTAACCGAGTAGTTTTGGTGCCTAAACGTAACCAAACTGAGCATTTAGGCACCAAAACTACTCGGTTAAGTTAAGAAAAACCATGTTTTATTTTGAAAGACTAGCTGGACGTTGTATATTTATTGTTGTTAACCTGACCGGACGTCAGGGCTGTATGGCCAAAATATGGCCAAAAATGTTAACACGATAAAAACATTTCCTATCATTTGTTTTCGATAATCCAATCCACTTTATTTATATAGCACAATTAAAAAAAAAACAACAAGGTTACCAAAGTGCTTTACAGAGATGATATAAAATATGTTCAATATATATATTGTGATAATTATCACAATATATGTCAAATCATTATTTCTTTCTAGTTTAAAGGCTGATTTTTGCTCCTGAGTGAAAATTGAAGAAACCAGATGGTTAATTATGTGGTTAAACTTATCTTTATGGTCAGAACGTGACAAACACTTGATGCCAAACAGTGAATCACTTCACAAGTCTAAAAGGTAGAACATTCAAAACTTCTTTTTCAACAAATGTGATTAGTTAATCTTTCTAGAAATTAAAAAGTGACCCAGGGTTCTTGACTAAGCGTTGATATGTGACAGCTATGGAGTGAGACCGTGTTGCTCGGGAATGACTGAAGTCAATGCAGGGAGTTGCCATTACTCCCTTGTACAGACAGTTATGACAGTTACAACATTCCCCTATGCGTCCTTTAGACAAAATCTTTCACTGACCCTTTCATTTTACTTTTCACTGGATTGCCACATTTGATTTTACCCTTAAAAACATCCAGCTTACTGTCACATCTGTCATTGAAAAGGTCAACAGAAGAAAATCATTATTTCCAAATGAACACAGCACACAGGTTGATTTACTATGGCAATAACACCAAAAACAGGATATAATGGAGCCAAAACTGCAAGAAGCTTAGACTAACCTCAGACATTTAAGAGGCATCACTGGGCTCATCTCCAATTCAGCTGATTTGCTATTCAAATGAAGAAGCCCTGAGGATGTTGAATTAATGGAGACGATGTTACCCAAAAGAATGTTGAATATTTAACAAACAGCTCTTGTAAAAGTATGTATTATTCACCACTGTGAGACATAAATGGGCTTGACGCAGTCATATTAAAAGACATTTTTCTCATGTCTGCTCATCATGCACTACAGTCGGGTGGGCCGTACTGCCTTAAAAATATATTAGGACACTTCAGGTTATTTTTGCAATAATGACATTCATTAAAATTTAATTAATTAAAATACATATTATAGCAGTTCGAGGTAGAGCTAATCATAACCAAGCAATTAACTCCTCAATACTGTTAATACTGTCATATGATGCTCTAGGGATGGAAACTTCAGCAGTTAAAGTGTCAGTCTGGACCAAATGCAAACAATCAACTAATAAACATTTGTTTGGTTTCCTAGGAAACTTTATTTTTGGCTTCAGTTGTTCAGACTTGGCCTCGCATGGCTCTAGCAACAGAAGTGGTATTGATCATCTTGGACGACTCCACAGAGGTTAAATAGCCGAGTTTCCCTACCAGTCGGCCAGAACTGAAGAAGTCAGATGAGGGACGAAATGTCTTCAAGTATATTCAACTAAGTGCAGTTGCCCTTGATTTTAACCTTCCTTGGATAACTATGACCTGGATGACTGAGGATCTTCACAGACAACTATTAGACGGTTTGTCATGAAACAGTTTGGACATTCATGGCCCCCAGTAGGAATTTAAGCTGGAGTTATTGTGTGCGCCTGTATTTTGTTTGATAAGGGCTGAGCAGTGTATGCATTTGAGGTTCTGTTCCATCTGTCATTTGATGGTTTCGTCTGCATTTTACTGTTCCCTTTTTTTTTGCATTTTCTTCGATCTGTAAAGCACTGTGCAGCTTTAAAAAAGTGCTAAAAACTGTATGTCAGAGGCCATTAAGTTCATTTACGTTTGTAGTGCTAAAATGTATCACCGGGGGGAGCTGTGCAAATGATGTGCAGAACAGAGGAGAGGAAAGAGGGAGAAAGACAGCATATGTTTAATGTGTACATGAGGAGTAGGGTTGGGGGGGGGGGGGTCAGGCAGAGGTTGATTCAGCAGCTAAATATCACTTCCTGGTTTTATTTGCTCTGTTTTTCCTGTGTTTGAAACTGTATCTGTTAAAATGGGTGTGGCTGCTGTTTCCTTTGCAACATTCTCCACTGTGGAATATATTTGAGGATATGTCTAAACAATAAGTGGATGATTAGTAAACTGTAAATTAAATTTCAGGTTCATATTGGTGCATAATGTGGACTCCAATGGCTTGACAATCAGCTACAGACAAAAAAAATGCTGCTGGGTAAGTTTAACATTTGGTTCTCCAATAAACAGCGAGTGTAATCTCAACTGGCACCAATGGGACAGGCTTGCGCTCCCTTGTAATCCCATCTAGTTTCCAACCAGATATGATCACACCACCTCCAATCTCGCCTCGGTTTACATGTCCCTAATACTAATTGGACCAATGGGATGTGCTTTTACAGGGGCTGTAATCCTCGTGGTCACCGGGTGAACGCTGACTTGGCTCTCCCTTTCTCCACATCATCCTTCCCGTCGGCTGCATGGCACGCTGCTCATCTGTGACATAACGGGATTTACAGCCTGAGCGGTGCTCCCTCACCATCTCCAGCCTCGCTGCAGCCACAGGCATCTGAGCTTTTCACTTCCTTCTTTTGCTTCAGTGTCTTAACTGTCAGTCTGCTGTAAGTTAGCGGGACATTTGGAGCTGCTTGACAAAAAATTTGATGTAACATTTACTACTGTAAGTGGCAACGTGCAGTTCCACTTACATCCATTCAGAGAAGTCACATGAGTTCAAAGTGATGTCCAACATTTTTACTTAAGCCTGACTGATGTTTGACGCAATATTGAAATTTGAATCACTTAATTCTGATAACAATGTATCAGCAGATATATATTTTACATAATAAGCACATAACCTACTAAAGCATTTCTTATAAGGATGTTTT